GTCGACATCACATTCCCAAGGTAGCAGAAGCGGGAGCTGGTTTCCCATACTTCATCACCAATGCTGATTCGCGGCAATACTGAAGATTGCACCTCCGGTGAAGGCTGAAAGTGACAGACAGTTTTGCTTGTGTGGATGGTGAGCCCGAATTTGACCGCTGCCGAAGCCAGAGCACTAGTCATGTGCTGCAACTCATCCGTGCTGTGTGAAAACAACCCACAGTCGTCAGCAAACAGCAACATACTGATAGTTGTCTCACAGACTAGGGTTCTTGCACCGAAACGACGGATGTTCCGCAACCCATTATCCATACGGGGCTCCACACGGACTTCTTAAGTACAAGCGGCATCAAAAGTACAGGACATCTTTACATGAAGATAAATATAAAACTGGGCAGTAGCTAAGACAGCTTTGCTTTACACCAGTGACAAGTGCAAAGTCATCCGAGGTCTCTCCACACAGCTGCACCCTCTCTCGCATGCCACTGTGCAGACATCCAGTTAAGTGAGCAAACAAACTGACCCAACAACAGCCACAATGTTTCGCGGTTCACCGTATCAAATGCCTTGGTGAAGTAAACAAACTGCAAGTACATTGGTTGGTGTCACTCTGCATTTCCCCGGCAGCAGACGAGCCGCAAATACCATATCGATGGTGTTGCGGCCCATCCAATATTCACAGTGCTCTTCCGGCACGTTAGGTTCCACAACCTGACTGACGAGGCGGTTGATCAGGGTTCGGGCAATCACCTTACCTACACAACTCAGCAATTTGCTGTCATGATAATTCATTCAACATTGATTGCTCTCTGTGCCCTTGTACAGTGGTAGCACAAGGGCATCCTTCAACTCGGGACGCACATCCACCTCAATGCACACGCGTTGCACCAAGTGATGCAGCGCAGTCACCAACGCGGCTCCGCCGTGTTTCAATACTTCCGGCGGAATTCCGTCGGCACCAGCACACTTGCTTTTTTGCAGCTGTGTAAGTGCTCTCTGCGTCCCATCCAGTGTGGATGTGTCCGCCAAACTCACCTTCACATCGTGCCGCTTGAGGCCGTTCAGTGTAGGTCAGTCAATCTCTGAGCGGTTGTTCAAGAGACAGTCAAAGTGTTTTCGCCAGATGTGCATTATGTCTGCAGTCTGTGTGCAGGTAGCGCCTGAACTACCATCGATCAGTGTCCTCAGCGGCTCCAATCTCGGTCCATACACCGCCTTTAAGAAGTCAAAGAATTCCTTGTGTTGGCGGCGTTCGGCGTAGCATTCCATCTGCTTCGCCTTCTTCCTCCACCATGCATTTTTAATGCGACGTAACTCTCGAGTCATTCGCCGTCGTAATTTGCGAAACTGACTCTGCATCCCCCAGTCACTGGGGTCTGCCACATGTGCAGCAAATGCTGCATTCTTCTCCGACACCAATGCGCTAATCGTTGCAAGGTTCTCATCAAACCACTCAGGCCGCTTACAGTTTGCTCGCCCGATGGTCCCCTCGGCAGCAGCTGTCACCTGGTCGCCCACTGTGACTATCCATTCCATGTCACACATTCGTGCAGCCATCGCCTTCTCCAGCTCAGTACGTTTCACCACATTACCTAGGGAATGTTAAATTTTCTCCGATTCATGGCGGGAGTGCAATACATAGGTTTACGAAATACGACATTTAAATAGCAGGCATATAACAGGGCAAAGACGTATTACGATTGGCGTATACAGTTGACGTGACAGCTGTGTTTTAACTTGTACACATGGCTGTAATCGTCTGTCTAGCGTTGAGTGCACGACAGACGGCCAGGGGAGAGCCGAAGTGTTCACAAATTGTGCGCACATTGAAGGGGTGGTTTACACGGATGGCAATCGCCTCTGCCGATGCAATTATGCGGCACTTGATCTGTTTGGAGGGGCTGCTCTCACGCGATACATCGAGCGGAAAGCCTTTGTGATGACAACCGGTGATTAGTATCGGCCTATGTGTTCGACAGTTGCAGTGGTGCAGGTTTTGTTTACTCTCCGACCCAACCACGCTGGGTGATGCTCCCTCACACGTTCGGCTAAATGTCTTGTGGTACGGCCTATGTAGCTTGTTCCACTGGAGCAGGTTAATTGCTATGCACAAAATTAGGTTGCATCCACAGACAATTTATTATTCAGTTGTAGTGTTATCACCGGTGTAGAGGCGAACAAGATTCTTAGTTGACCCGGGAAACACGTGTTCCTAATTACACTTCTGAGTCTTCCGCTAATACGTGTGGCTGTACTATTGGTTGTGAAAGGAAATGATAGGTACACATTTTTCTATTCTACTGTAGAAAATTTCACACCTCGTTGGTATATCAGCAACTTTCAGTCGATGAATGGCTTAGGGTAGCCATAGGTAAGAAATGCTTGATTTATTTTTACACGTTCATGTACAATCGTATTCTTCGAGCAAATTTTCATTGCCCTTTGAGTAAGGAAACCGATTACATTTTGCTTCTTTTGTGGAACAAACCATCAAAATTGGTTTACTGACGAGCACATGTTGATTTTCTATAAACTCTACGTTGTAATGTCCCGTCTAGTCCACGCGACATTTGTAAGCCTAGGAAGACTATACCTTCATCCAACTCCGCTTGTAGGCTAAAGTTAATGGTTACATGTGTTTTATTGCATTTTCTTAGCAATTCAGACTAGTTTTCTGAGTCTTATGTTGATGGTGATTTCGAACTTGACCGCAGCCAAAGCGAGAGCTGTCGCCTTGCGCTATAACTTATCCTCGTTGGGTGCAAACGACATGCAGTCGTCTGCAAACAGCAACCGATCGTTTGCTCATCTTCTCAGTTTCCCGCCCGGAAACGTTGGATGTTCAGTAACTCATTATCAATGTTGTGCTTCAGACAGACAGCGTAATCACAACCATTTAAAGGGATTACAAAGAATACAATGCGGACTACTAATCTTTTGCCTACTTTATTCACTGCCTTTTTCTCACTTTGTACGACGACATAAGTTATTGCGTCCCTCACTGTTGATCCGCGATCCGCATGAAGTACTCGGCCATCACCCATATGTATTGGTTACGTCATCTGATTAGTGGAAACAGTTCCATTACGTCAAGTTATCCTGGTTCACCCACTTCGGTTACCTTTGATGTGTCTCGCTGGTTGCTGGGCTCCTTGACAACCGGTGTTCAGGGGTTAGTAATGCCTTCGCGAGGGCACATATGTCTTTAGGTCCTGCTTCTTCTCTGGCTATTAGGCACGTTACCTCAACAGATTGTATGCCCTGGTGCAACCACCATGTACATCTTCATTAAAATTTGGCCAGCAACTTCTGTTTCATTTTCATTGAAATCACCAGCACCGAGTTCCTGCTTCCTCCTTGTGTCCACATCCGGCTTCCGCCCGACGATTCTCTTCAGATTCGCCTGGTTATGATAGCTCGCCCCGCATATTAAAACTTCTCCTTATCCATTCTGTTTCGTTTGCTGTGGTCTATGGCATTTTCCAACGCCTCGACAGTCAACCTTGTGGTTGTTAATCGCAACCCCCTAATTATCACAACATTATCCAAGCCGGTTTCATGCCTATGTCTAACGCTTCGATTGCCACCGCCGAGTCTCGCATTGGAGCCCTGTATTCGACATCGTTCCTCGGTGGCGATTATCCTTCCATTTTGCAATACACCTGCCTGTTCACTTACACTGACGACGCTTTTGTGTCCCGAACAGTCTTGCTAGTGTTGTTGATGCGTCCGAACTTGGCCGTTGTCATTGACTGCAACTGTGTGCAAACAACATGCGGTCGTCAGCAAACAGTAACCTACGGATCGTCTGCTCGTTCACACAGTTTCACGCGCTGAAACGATGAATGTTCAGTAACTCATTATCAATTCTGTGTTCCAGACAGACAGCGTAATCACGACCATTTAAAGGCTAGGCTATCATGGTAGATGCTAAGTCACAGTGTTTCTTCACACAACAAGCAGTATTGAAGTCATCCGAGACATATCAACTGACAGCCGCATGCCACTATACACGCAATTACAGACTGATGATTATCTGGGTCACAGTGCGTTGCGGCTTCTCATTTCGGCTGATGAACATTGCAGCTTGTTTACAGTTAACCAAATCTAGTCTTGCTTTTTAAGCCTATTGAAATACCTCAACCAGTGTTCTGTGTTCAATGGCTTCATAAGAACTATCAAAACGCGATTTTCGCTTGCTTCAAAATGCTTAGCTGGTAGCCTAAAACCATAGCTACGTTGGATCCATAGCCTATATTTTTTGTAGGAATGCAACCCCCTTTGTCGAACATCATTCTAAACCCAGTGCAGCATTCGTTTAGCACAACGGCAGGAACTCGGCACTTTAATGCACCGGTTCTTCGTCACCTAGAAAGCTGCGAAAACATTTACTGTAACGTATGGTCACAAACAACGGTGCAACAATGTCGACCTGCAGGTGTTTCCTTAACTGACATTTTGAGCGTGTGGCCAGCGGCTAATGCTCTAAAGTGAAAGATGTACAGACTGTGTAGTTAGTCGGGCTGTAGAGGCGCAAGACGGAAGGAATATATTGATAATAGGTGACCTGAATGATTTGAGAGACGAATGAGGTGGCAAACTGAATGTGACCTGAGAAGCCTCTACTATTGGTTCCATCGGCATTGGGGTCATCTCTACGCAGTTGCAGCGACTACCGTTCCTATTGAATGCTGGTGTCCTTCCGTGGAAATTACTTTCTTACACGCCCTGAATCGTGGAGACAAAGCAACATGTTGGCACTTTACGTCGTACGCAACACTGTCATCAAGTCGTCGTCGCTAGCAGATATCACGTACTATCTTTATCTTATCTACCTTCCGTTGCGTGATAAAGTGAACAGTCAAACTTTGACATTGCGATTCTGCTATAGTCATTATTATCATGACATAGTTGCATCATTCTAATAGATTATCCACAATTCTCAGCCTCTTTCCCTATTTGGTTCAATTTTGATAATCCACTTTCTGTTCCCTAATCCAGAACAAGGCCCCCGCACGTCTAACCGTGGCGGTAAATGGTTTCCCAGACAGGTCAATTTACAAGCGCATATCAATTCTGTACATTTGGGTGAGTGTGTAGGTGAAGCTACCACTTATGTTACACTGTCATCGTTGGTTTTATTTGCTTTCAGCCGAATTAACACAATCAAAATCATGTGACTAACTACTTATTCATTAATTGCTAGCCAACAATGGCCAATGAGTGATCAGTGAGTTAGCCGATTTTCCGTCATAAATTTTAATAGCGAAAATGCGAGTACGAGCCTGCAAAGCAGAGCAACTAGATGGCGCCACTGTTCGGTCGCTCGTCGATTGTTGTTCTTTTATATTAAATCAATAAATGCTTTATTCTCGACACTGCGAGATCGCTAAATGTAAATAACCGTTAAAATTTATCAGTGGCAAATGAATTAGTGTGATAGGTGTAGATGACTTCTGGTATGTATGTATGTACGTGGCTCCCATGCGCATACCTCCCGGTTTTACTTCCTCGGGTTTACACTGGATATGACGTGTGTGGATGGAGATGTGGGTGGCTCAGTGCAAGCCACCCATTGTCCCTCAATAGACATAGGCGTCCTGTGGCTGGCCACAGCGACAGCCAAATGTACGAATATATACATACATACATATATATATATATATATATATATATTCATACATTTAGCTGTCACTGTGGCGAGCCACAGGGCGCCTGTGCCTATTAAGCTACCATGGGTGGTTTGCGCTGAGCCACCCACATCTCCATCCACACCCGTATCCAGTGTAAACCCGAAGGCATGCGGATGGGAGCCAGGTTTCATCAACATTTGGCAGAGTACCACAACACATGAGTAACAATAACAAAAGTGAGGGCGTGAGCGTCACCTGAATGGATGGAGAGTTCCATGAACTGTGTGGGCATTAAGGTTCTTGCCCAGGCCGAGGAAGAGGGTTGACTTAATGGACCCCAGCCCGAGCCTTTGGTCTTAAAGACCTGACTGGCAATGCATCGGGTTGATTCACGATGTCCGTTGACAGCCAATAGCTCATTCACCTTCTGTGTGTTCGGTAGCAGTTCACAGAGAATCCGGTGGCTAGCGAGGTTGTTCATCCACCCTCCGTTAGATACTCGCCTCCAGTTACAGGAGTGAGTGGTTAGTGACCCTGAATGTACCGCCCTATTTGCGATTTTCTTTGCTCGGACCGTCGGCGTGAGAAGGGGTGAATGGAAATCTTCATCTTGGATGACTGATGTCCGTGGATTGGGTAACATCATCCGGATACGTAAGAGGCAATGACTTTAGTTAGTGGCGGGTCGCGTTCGCCACGCCGCAGTGTTTTTAATCACACCTTTGTGGCTTTTGATAGGGAGAACGCTTGCCGGGCGGGAACCCACCACTTCCTGGATCACTGCCGCCGAACCATCCGCTGGAACGGGATTAACTCGAACCACCCAGCTTGCACCACGAGGAGGTTGTTCGGGGAACCAGCCAGGTTGAATTACAGCCTTGGGTGGACACTAATGTGGGAACATCTGTCGGCGGATTAGATAAAACTTCAAGCAAATGTTTACAAGGCAGAAGGAACAAGACACTCGATTACTATTCAGGACGTATCGATACGGATTGATGATGGGAATCTGTCATTCAGCAAGGAGTTGGAGAGAATGGTTGAACTAAATGAGAAGTCATTGACATCCGTTCATGTTTGATTAGAGGACACAATAAAGCAAAGAACCGAATGAATTTGTAGCACGACTTACGGTGTGCATTAGCCGAAACGGTACCAAAATATGCCATAAAATGTTGGCACTAAGCAATGCCTACTGTCACCACTTGATTTAATAAAAGTTGCTCAAATATAGTGTTTTCTTTAACCAGTGATAGTAGTATTCATTTTCCGTACTTTAATACAAACGATGCAATAGTTAATAGGGAATTTGATTTTTTTAAACATTTGAGGGGGATTGTTTGTAGTTAATCCGCTTTGTGGGTACAAACTTTAAAATGGTTGAGACCTATTGTTTTCGTGGAACAAAACTTGTAAAATGTATGCATTGTCCGTTCCTCGTTCCTTTTCTGCGCACCGTCCATTTGGTCAACCCATCTGCTCTTTGCTAATCTGAACGTCTAGGAAGGACATCGTGCCATTGCGTTCGGATTCGAAAGTGAACTTAGCATCTTGCGCTGAATTAAAACGGTACACAGTTTGCTTCCTAGCCAACCACCTAGTTTCGTCATTTAGATAAATTAGACCTTTGAACTTTACCATTGTCTGATGTATTTCGCTTATGTTATTTCCCTCAGCTATGGTATATAAGTCTGATAAGATCCACCTAAAACAGACCTGTTCGCTAACTGGTTTCAGATGTTTACTTATGCAATAAGTGTACAGGATTTGCTTATACGAGTAATGCATGCGATCTTCGCAGCTGTTACTCGTAGTTTGTACCCCGTCTATACCAACTATGTTCATTATTTCAAGCTTGCCAATGGTCGCAGGTAGCTCGACTTGTCTGATGTAGACTCATAATCTGGCACAAGACCGCGTGTTGCAGCTTGAATTACAATTCGCGAACTTGAATACTTGTACTGACAGTTTATGAGTAGTTTGAGTCTGTTTGACCTTTTCACCGCACCACGCATTTTCTTCCACGATAATTGAACTAATTGACTAGTACGTTTAATTGTTTTTTTTCGTTTGTTTACATAACATTGCTGCTTTCAACCTTAACCTGTATGTAGAGTAACCCAGTTAAAGACTTGAGCTACAGTTCTATGTTTACATCCGCTCCAAATGCAATCTTTAGGCCGAAGTCGCTCACTTTCCTGATGAAGCTTTGGAACAGGTAGAAATGACCTCTGTTTTCAGATTCTGAAAACTTAACTCTCTGCGTTCATGGAAACCTCAACGTCTAGTTAAATCTTCTGAGACATCAATTCACGCAGCAACAGGTTCCTTATTTCAAACCTTTCGATAATGATCCCACTATATTTTCTGTAACAAAATATAAATTCATGGCGGATAAAAGTTGCCCACCTTGGTGCGCTAGGTATACAGTTGATAAATCATTGTGGGAACTTTCTTAAAAGTGCCATCTCTGTGGATTGTTCCTTTACACAATGCAAATAGCAGTCCTTTGTGACGTATTACAAGCATCCTGTCTGGATCATCCACACCTAAATCATGAAGCACTAGTTCGCAGCAGTTCTCAGGTAAATCGAATTGTATAGAGTTTTGGAATGTCAAATGACCGTCTTTTCAGTGGAGGGTTTCGGTGTGACTCTCTCCCATCCCTGCACTCCACGATTGACGGTTTCCCTTTTGTTTAGACTCATCAGGTAGAAATAGCCGAGCTGGGAGTGGAACTCGGCGCATAGTGCTTGGCGGCTATCGCCATGATCACTAGGCCATTGAGCTCCGCGAGCAGTTTGACACAGCGGTTAGAAGTTGATTTTTGGGTTTTGGAGCACCCGTCGTTTGTCTTGGATTGCGACACGCAATCTCAATCGTCGCGCTGAGTTCCACTCCCAGCTCGGCTATCTCTATCTGATGAGTCTAAACAAAGACGAAACCGTCGGTCATGGAGTGCAGGGATGGGTGAGAGCCACACCGAAACCCTTCACTTCGGTGACGGTCCCAGTGACCGTATTGGCAGAGGCTGACTTCAAAGTCAACCGAGGCCACGATTGAGATTGCGTGTCACAATCCAAGACAAACGGCGAGTGCTCCGAAACTCGAAAATCGCCTTTTTAGTGCTTCAAAAGAGTTCTCACAACACGTTCCCCATCAAAGTGCGAGGTCTGTCACTAACCATTCTCATGTCTGTCCTTATTTTGCTTCTGAAAGCCCTGACTTCTACTTTTTGAGGGGACATGAGTCGTGAAAACGCGCGGTCGATTACTGATTACTGTATTGTGGGGCAAGTAGAAATGAATTCTGTACAATTCCTTTGAAATATGGTGAGACCGTTTTTAACTACTGTCACCCGTGGATATCGTCATCGTTCTCATGTAACATTCAAAATATCTGACTCACGGTATTGCAGGGCTCACAAATGTGAGATGTCATCGTAAGTGTGCAATCGTTCTCTGAATCGTATAGTGGTACAGTGTAAATCCAACAACGTTTTGCACTGGTGCACAGATGTGGCCTCCATCACATGTTCTGGCAAACTGTTCCAAATATTTGCCACTCTCCGTTCGAAACATAGTAGGGGGAAACTCACTTCATATCCGGCACCACAAGTTTTTATCTGTGTCCGAGTGTGCTGCCTGGCCTTCGTAAGTGCAACATTGCCCTTAACATGGGGAAATCACCGAGATGTAGAGTACGGTGGGTCATAATGAGGTCGACTCACATCTGGACGGTAGGACAAGGTGCAGAGTCCTAATCTCTCGCACCGGTCTTCATACCCCGAGCCACGTAAACTCGGAATAAGCCTAGTAGCAACGTGTTGGACCCGTTCGATCTTCTGTACCTCGTCTCGGTTAATCGGAAAGTAGGCGGGCGAACCGTACTTTAGCATTGGTCTAATGATGGAAGAGAAGAGGCGAGTGGCAACCTCTTCACACCATGTGACCAAGCTACCTTTGAGCGCACGAAGCATACGCAGTCCGTTACGATATAGTCTGCTCGTGTTGCCGACGAACTTCAAATGGTAGCGCGAGAGTACACCTAGGTCCTTCGCGGAGGTCATGGGATATAGCGGTTGGTCGTCAAGGGTGTAGGATCGGCCGTCGACACTTTTCCCCATGCTCACAAATACAGACTTCGCTGGGTTGACCGGTAGATGAACTTCTGCAGACAATGTGGATGGGCGATTGTGGTCTTGCTGAAGTACGCCGCAGTCGTCAGGAGTGTCAATTTCTCTCCAAATCTTCACGCCATCTGCAAACATGGCACACGGCGACCGGCGATGCTGGGGTAAATCGTTAATGTGGATCAAGAATAGATTGGGCGCTTGAGGTACGCCACTTGTATAGGGATACCAGTCAGTTTGATGGTTGTCGACCTGTATTCTCCACTTTTGTCCAACATGAAAGTCGCGGATCCACTGGTGCAGTGAGCCACCGACATCACACATCCTGAGTTTGTGAAGGAGGACCTCATGGTTGACCTTGTCAAACGCTTTATTGAAATTGTTGAATATCCGTAGACAGAATTCCCGTTGATTGTTGCCTGTAACCACTCATGCCTCGTCACAAGCAAGTTTGTAATGTATGGGCGACGTTGCATAAAACCGTGCTGTGCGGACTTCAGAACCTCTTTGGACTGTGGCAACTGCAGCAATCTCTTTTTCACGATTTTCTCAGCAACTTTTGCCAAAATAGTTATCAGGCAATTTGGCCTGTAGTTGCCTACTTTGCTAGTATCGCTGCGTTTCGGAATAGGCTTCACCACCGAACCTTTCCAGTCAATCGGCAACGAACTTTCGGACAGCGATCTGTTGAAAAGGTCAGTCATGGCAAGAGAGATGATGGCCAAAAGTGACTTGAGAACCAGTGGATGTAGCCCATCATGTCCGGCAGGTTTGGTGCCGTCTAGGCTGGCGAGTAGTTGGCATACTTCTTCAACGCCGCAAGTCAGACTATCGAGTTCGGTAAAAGCAGTGCTCGTCGTACTCGGAACAGACATCTGGTCATTTGCAAATACAGAAGCGAAGTGCGCCGCCAACGCGGACGCACGCTCAGTGCTGTAGGTTAGGGGCTGTCCGTCCGGGCCATCCAACACTGGCACGTCATCTGCGGGCTTCAGGCTTCGCTTCATGTAAGCAGAGTTTCTCATTGGGGCGGTCTTCTCGGCGATTGCTTGCTGCTTTTCGTAATGTCGGCGCTTATTCCTGTTGCTGATGTTCCGCTGACTTTTATGCCCTTCGTAGTCATTGGCAGAGCCAGAGAGGAGGAATCTGTACTACAGTCTGCGCTGCCTCTGAGCCAGATTTCCATACTCCTTGTCAACTCAATGAGGCTTAATCGGTTCAATCTTCCGACATTTCAAGGGTACAACTTAGGAACACAATGACGTCAACTTCTCTTTTATAACTCTCCAACAGTCTTCCACAGATGCAGCTTGTGACAGAGACCAATCCAGTTGCCTCGCGTTTCGAACTAGACCGTCGAAGTCCGTTTTCCATTAGATGTAAACTGTCTCCAAGTGACGTGAATACGGCAAAGGTAATTCCATATCAGCAATGAACACTGAGTAGTCGCTTGTCACCAGGGGCTTCAGGATCCGAACATCACCCACTCGTTGTTCGTAGCTCGTTGGCATCAGGTCGAGATAGGACGGGTTTGAGCGTGGTGTTATGCGTGTTGGCTGGCATATTTGTTGCGATGCACCATTTTCAAATGCCATTTCGACGAACTTTGCTTCAACCTCACCATGTCCAGAAATCAAATACACATCAGGCCATCGTATTCGAGGACAGTTAAAATCACCCATAATTAAAAAGTGTGGACGACTCATGTGGGTTCCAAGATGGGGCAGCCAATAAAAACAGTGACTTAGGGGGCTGCGATAGATTGCCCACCAGTAGCTTTCCGCGCATAAGGTGGATAGAGCACCACAGTAGCTCAAGCGGACCATCGTCCCTTCGGTAGGTACTCACAAGTCTCCCATTTAAGCAAGACCGGATGTAGAGCATGTCGCCACCGTGGACATTCGATAGTATTTCACTGCGGAAGCACGAGTAACCGCTGGGCTCTGTTTCCTGCCTGTGTAACTCTGCATGCAGCCCTGTCTATTCGAGTCTCACTAAGTCTGGCCGCTCAGACGAAACGAAATGGCAAAGCTCATCGCGCGGATTCATAGCACTTCAAACGTTGGTAAAGGCTACATGCACGCCGCAGTGGGAACCGCCGAGCTTGCTTGATGTGTGGGCAACCTGTTTATCCTTATTCGCAGATTTTTGGAAACCACCCAAAAATTTAGCTTACGGAGATTTCTTTCCCCCTTCAGCTCAAAGATGGCAGACTTGAGCCGTTCACGGTCTACTGGGTCCAGGTATGGACGAACATGGATCTTCCAACCTTTTAACCAACTTAGGTGCGACAAGATCAGTCTTGGACTGGTTTCGTAAACAAAAGTGATTCACGTAGGCCGATTTTGTTGACCAGCTTGCTTTCCAAGACGGGTAATTTGCCTTTTACCGGGTTTCACCCAGCGTCGAGGAGTACGTCAGTTAGACTGTAAAATCTCAGCGTCGTGATCGTAGCGCATTTGGGGTGATGGATCACTGGACTCCAGCGCGTGAAAGATCACGGAGTTATAGCGCTTCTGGTCGGACGAGGTTGGCCTTGCTGGGCGAAGTATATTACGAGCCTCACGTGATTTGGCAAGTTGTTGACCTAAAGTTAAATTCTAAACATTCTTTCATGATTTCGTTCTCTTTTCTTTCCACTGGTCTTCGACACTCAGTTTTTTATCCACCGGGACATCAGTGCTCGTTAGACACAACAAAGGTAAACAGTTTATGCCAGGTGGAACTGAGCTTCTCAAAACGATTGAATTTTGTGCCGGTGAGTTTGCACTGGTAGAGGAGAAAGACTGAGCTGAAACCTGAAGGCTCTTCGGAATAGGCTGCTGGGCCAAACACACGGATCTGTTCATAACGGAATGATGAATCCTACAATTCGGCTTTACTCTTTTTTGGCTATATTTTGTTTCGTCAACTTTCACATTTGAAAGATCGTGTTGGATTTCACGAGGAGGACGAAAATGCTCAACTGATAATCCAGCACATGAAATCTGGTATTTAACTTGGCACAAAACACATGTGAGGGCATGTGCACGATATCAGACTATCTTGGAATAAGTATCACTGGGTGAATGCTTCGGCATTGTGGATAATCCGAAAACAAGATGGCGACTAATTGCTAGAGGAAATAGCGGTAGCTAGATCGCTGAAACCAAACGGTGATATCACAAGTATTTATGGTCGAAAAATTCAGAACCAAAAATGAAACTGAATGGTATCTAAACTGTCACGAAATAATTCTAATGAACGAATAAATCCAAAACCAAGTGATTTTGTCAATAGCCAAAAATAACCGACCGAGGGCCGCTATCCGCAGTCTCAGTTGTAAGATGATGTCGTCTCGTACCATCATCAATGTGACAATTCATAAATCATTTTTGCCCCCATTTTTAAGTATCGATTCCATCCATAGTATAAAAAGCAGTGTTGAAACCCCAGGTAGGTCAAAACTCGGTTGCTTTTCTGTCTTGTTGAATATGCAAGCAACAAAACGCTTTGGAACCCTTGAGGGATGCACCTAGTCGCCGGTCGTCCAAAAGCAAAGCCGGAAACGGATTCGCAAGCCGGAACTGATCCTTTTATTTCTAGGTAATTCTAAGTCAAAGTTGGTATGACAAGTGGCTAGTGCATAACAAATAATGATAAACCTCAAACTGTTTCCTTACACACAAATTGCAATCATATTTTCGGCCGATACCAAAGCCATGCGGCGACATGACTCGTTACCGAACTGCAAACCCTACAGGTTTCATATCGGTTGGGGATCACTGAAACCGTATCCGAAGTGGAAGGTTTCGATGTAGATCTCTCCCATTCCTGCACTCCACGACCGATCGGTTTCGTCCTTGCTTGTACTCGTCAGGTAGAGATAGTCCGGTTTGGGATTGGAACTCGACATATATCGGTTGGTGGCTATTACTATGATCACTAGATAATTGAGCTCCGCGCGCAGACCGGGTACTCATAAACCCAACAATCAACTGCCAACCGTAATGATCATCGTGTTTTTTTGTATCACGACAACTGGTAAATCATGCTAACCGTTTATCCGCAATTTTCTACCTCTTATTCCCTCTTTGTTTCATCTTCAATTATTCACTTTCGTTTCCCCAATCCAGAAGAACTACCCCACAGGTGTGACCGCTGTGGCAAATCGTTTCCCAAACAGGACCGTTTGCAAACGCATATCAATTCTGCACATTTGAGTGAGTGGGTAACTGAAGGGGCCATTCGTGTTCTGCCATCGTCGTTGGTTTCAACTGAATCAACATTGCGTAGTTTTTTTACATTGAAACTGAATGGTATTTTGCATATACCTTCCATTTCTCATGCTAACTGTCTTGCAGTGGATGGTTTAGTTCCCTTAGTTTTGTGCTTTTGTAATAAGTTGCATTCATTCTTGCAACTCGCTTGGTTGTCCATCATTACTGCTAGAAACGAACCCTCACGTTTTTTTCTGTACTATCATGTTGTAGAGTGCTTTCTTGTCAGCCCTATTCGCAGTCTGCGATTCAGCAACTTCATCTGAGTGAGAGGATCGGTTTTCGTAATCGTATGAGGTAGGCGAATCGAGTGCTAGCTTGAATCGCCTTCATTGCGCAGTGCAGAATGCATTTACTCTCCTATCCGTCCAGCGTAAGGTATCCGAGTAGTGGATACATTCTTTGAACTTCAATTAGCCAGATTCAAGTCAACTCAAAGTAAGCCTTGTGATCTCAGATGGGTTTATTTTCAGTATCTACACTATCCGCGCAGTATGGCGGTACGATAATAATAATAATAATAATAATAATAATAATAATAATAATAATAATAATAATAAACTAATCACAAAATAAACATGTACCAAACCGTCACTCCAACAACCGCCCGTGCAGTATGCGAATCATTTTCACTGATTTAACGAGCAAAGTTAGCAGCTAAAGCTATGGTAGTATTACGATCCGGTGAAGTGCGGTTGAACATTTTCACCAGGTGGATGAAATCGGTCATTTAGCACCCTAGAAGCCAAATCCTTATACGCATCAACATGTTTGCGAGCGATCAAATCAACCCGAGGAATCTCAACCCGTTGCAGCCAGAAATGTGCTTTATCGATCGTACCAGTAAGATGGTTTTTTGATGTTGTCTAGGAAGATGATAGGCGAGTAGAGCAACCGTTGAGGGATAATGCATGAAGTCAGAAATTTGCGTATTCAAGTGCGGTATACTGAAAGCACCTTAAGTTTGGTGGCTTTATTATTAGTTTTCTGACTTTCTGAAACATGTCACAAGCGCGTGGACCAGAAGAGGTTTTGATTGCTAAAGCTATCGCGACCGGATTGTACCTTACGCGGTGCGATGGTTTGCGTGCCTCAGAGATCCATTGAGCTATGCTGGATGGTGCTTTTTGCACCTTCAGAGCCACTCATACCAGATTAGTCAATGCTTAGAAGCCGGATAAACTCAGTCTTCTGGCCCTCCAGGTTTGGATTTGAGTAAGGGTGACTCCTTACTCCATAAAACGGACACTTTGTAGTAGAGTGCCTAAACCCCGCTGCTTTCGGTCAGGCTTTTGAACCAAAGGTTTTGCTTGATAACCCTGATATTTCTGCTCTAGGCCGGAACAACATAACAGTATCTTGGTTACGCAAACAACTCAGTGCCTTTTAATTTAAATAATCCCCTGATGCTCTGGTCGTCACAGATATTAATAATCGACGCCCTATCTGCTGCATCGAGCAAAATGGATAGGGTTTTGGATGCTGCTGCTCAAGCCTTCCGTCTTTTTAATTCCCCCCTCTCGCGGTTTTTCGTCCTTATTGTCCCGTTCCAACTTCATCTTTATCCCCGCGTTTGCAATCTCCCAGTTCTTGGTCTTCCTCCGACTTGCTTCAAGTCACTTCTAGTTTCAACTCACACGCTGTCGCAGGGCGCCGCTCCAGTCCAGTCGACAAGTTCAACTTGAACCAAGCGGAAAACGTCAGTTCATCCATTTCTCTTTGGAATCCTCCATCATCGCTAAGACTGGCAGGCTCCATTGTGCGCACTTCGTTACAGATTGGTCAACATGCAGCACTTGCTTAAACAATCGGTACCCTCTGGATCGGTATTTGATGCTTATCGCAAATCCGCCTGCAAGACCCGAGCTCCGTGCTTACCCCGCGATCCTCCACATGCGATACTGGCGTCACATTCTCATTACGCCTGTCTGGAGATGACGCAGCTTCAAATGCCGGTCAAGCCGGCTTGAGCATTGTTTTGAGTCCCCGGGATGAAGCTGCTCTAATCGACTGGATTCCAGTCAAGAGCCAGATTTGCGTCATTAGATTGGTTGGCTCGTTCCAAGCTTCGAAGTCGCGCGGGGATAAACGCTACCTCTTTGTCATTGCGGCCCACAAACTGTATCACTTCTCCCTTCTATCGCCAACTAAAAGCCCTCCTGCGTTCCGGAAAATATACGGATATCGGGGGTGCTTGCTGGTGATCTAAATGCCCAAGTCAGAAAGTTGTCCTCTGATGTACTTCGTCTGGGCGGTCAACATGGTGTAGGCTCCCGTAATGATAACGGTGAGCGCTTGCAACAGCTGTGTGAAGGTGCTCGTCTCTTTTACGCGAGGACTAACACAGCACTCGCAGAAGTGTGACTTGGCGCCTACCAAGTATGGATACAGATTGATCACATCGCGATCAGTTACCGGTGAAGCGGCCGCGTCCAAGATTGTCGCTTGATTTGGAACACAAGTGTAGGATCCGATCACACTCTCGTGTATGCCGACCTTTGGGTGCTTTACAGCGAACGTCCGCAACGTCGCTGTGCGCGCATAGACACCAGCCAACTGGCGAAGCCAGGTGTTCTGAATGTGTATCCAAGTACGCTGGCAGCGACAAGAAGAAGCTGGGTTTCGCCCTGATCGCGGCTACATCGATCAAGTCTTCACACTCCGCCAGATCCTCGAGTTCCCCCAGATCCTCGAGCTCCGCCATGAGTATCAGAGACCAACGATTTCTGTGTTCTTGAATATGCGAGCAGCCCTCGATTTTATCTATCGGACTGTACTGTGCCACTACCTGCTGAGGAATTGCGTCCCCGAGAAGTTCGTCTCCATACTGCGCGCTCTCTGTGGTCTGATCTCGGGCAGTGTTAGGGTTTATGACAAGCTTTCGCCTTTCTTTTTGGTCTCCATTAGAGTCCGATAAGATTGCCCTATCTCTCCGTTCCTGTTCAACTTTGCCATTGATGATGGTCCAAAGAACTCTCTGGGCGATTAGTTGAACGCTTGCGTTGAACTCTTCTCAGGTAGTCTAGTTGTTGCTTTGGGTTTTACTGATGATATCGTCTTGCTTAGTGACGACCCACACGTCGTCCAACTTGCACTAAACCGCTTGGCGATTGAAGCATCAAAATATGATATGTACTTTTCGCCATCCAAATGCAAGTGCCTGTGGCTGCACTCACTCTTGGTTGGGAGACACTGGAGGTTGTGGAGACCCTTGGGAAGTTGCATCACTGCTGGCGGGGTTGTTGGAGACGAGATTTCCATGCGCATCTCAAGAGCACGCCTCGTTTTTTCTAGTCTGGGGCACTTGTGGCGTCGCCACAACATTCGTCTCTCCTTTAAAGGGCGGGTCTATTGTGCAACTGTTCGTGCTGTACTGTTGTACGGATGCGAGACCTGGCCGATTCGGAAAAGTGACTTGCGCAGACTATCCATCTCCGAGCACCGCTTCTCCGGTCCATTGCCCGTGTGTGGTGGCGGCACCATGTAAGCAATTTGAAAGTTAAACAACATGTATTGAGGCGAGGAAGCCACTCGCTTGAGGGACTCGTCTCACTGCATCAACTGCAGTGGCTGGGACAGGTATGGCGCATGCTTGTTCAGCGTTACGCGCGTCGTGCGTTGTTTGTGGTTGCTGAACAGGGCTGGAAGAGACGGTCTGGTGGACAGCCTGCAACTTAGAGTAGCCGCATGAAAAGGGTGATGAAGCACTTGGACTCGGCCGGTTCTTGTCGACTACCTGGTTGGGGTCCGTGAGATGCGGATAATTGCTTGAAGACCTTGGAAGCCATGGCTCAAGATCGGTGTCAGTGGCGGAGGTGTGCATCGGTGTGTTGCGGTGTCCCTCCTTTCCCTAAAAAGCAGAAAAAAGAATTCAAAAACTGTGAGTGATAAACTGGACAAAAAGCTTTGCATATATATATATATATATATATATATATATATACGCTGGCATTCGGGCTGAGTTAGCGCTCACTGTTAAAGATCACAAGTTGCATATACACCAGACGTTACTGTCAGCAGGCATCTCTTCATATGGTTAATGAAATTTCCACCCTGGACCTTGAGTCTCTACACAGTCTCCGGAACTTCTGGATGCTCGGCGGCAAATTCAGGCTGGAAGCGAACACAATAAGAATCGCATAGAGCTCCGCACAAAACTGCGTGCTAGTTTGAAGAGAGACCGGGAATCCTGCTGGTCTCTTCGTGCGTCAGAGATTGAAACGTGCAACAGGAGACCCGGTGTCGGGGAACCAATTTATGACGAAAGTTGGCAACCTATCCGCAGTTTGTCAAAACGTTTGGAGCATTGGGCTGAGCATTTTGAAAGGCAGTTTCATCGAGCAGAATGCTTAGATTTTTCAACGGCCAGTATTCGCCCTGCTCCGTCGGCTGTCTCTTTGAATCCTCTCTCTCGCTCATAAGTGGAACTTGAGATTGAACAGTTGAACTTTAATAAACCCGTAAGATCAGATGATCTTCATGTTGATGATTCAATCGTATTATTAGTGAATCTGTTTGTGCAGGAAATTGTTCCAACCGACTTGAGGTGCTCCGTTATTGTCCCACTCTTTAAAAGAGGCTTGCGTTCGGAATGCGGCAGCCACAGAGAAATTGGTCTGATCCCCTCTCTTCAAAATTACTTGCCTCTGCAATCCTTCACAGTTTGACTTGTGCTCGTGAAAGCCAGTTACGTGGGGAGCAAACTGGGTTTCGTCGGGGTCGTAGCTGCATCTACCACATCTTCACTTTGCGTCAGTTGTTGGAGCACCATCACACATATTGGCGGCCCACCGTTATCGTGCTCATCGACGTCCATGGTGCCTTCCATTCGGTTGGTCAATGTGCTCTTGGGGACTGTCTACTCAGGAAAGATGTGCCAGAGAAATATGTAGATGTTATCCGTGCACTATACGCGCGTAGCTCCGGTCGAGGGAGAGCTTACGGTAAGCTGTCGCCGCCCTTCAATATCTCCAGCGGTGTGAGGCAAGGATGTCCACTGTTACCTTTCCTCTTCAACTTCGCTATTGACGAATTCACGCAGTTCGCGTTCGCAGGACACGATTTAGAAGTCAACTTGGAGTATGCTGACGATATTGCCCTAATCTGTGACAGCTTCTAGACGTGCCAAGCTGCACTGAACAGATTATTACTGGCTGTTAGCCGCTTCGGCTTTTGCTTTGCACCGTCCAAGTGCAAAGATTTCCTCCAAGATTGGCATGGACCGTCTCCTGCGCTCACCCTTGGTGGGAATCACCTAGAAGTCGTTCAGATATCCAACTACCTAGGAAGTTGTATCAGCGCCCGTGCGATCAAAGACGGGATCACTTACCGTATAGCAAAAGCTCGAGGCGCTTTTGCTTACCTTCGCCACCTATGGCGCTGGCTCGACATCACTCTTTCTCCCTGAAGGGTAGAGTACAATGCGGCGGTATGTTCGAACCTACCGTATGGTTGTGAAACCCCACGCCTTCGATCAGCCGACATAAAGAGTCCAGTTACGTTCGATCACCGGTGGCTTCGCATCTTGGCTCACATCTGGTGGGAACACCGCGTGAGCATTCAGCGTATTCGACACCTTGTTTACGGCACAGGTAAAGGAACTGTACCGCTCAGCACTGTCATTTCTCACACCAGGCTCCGATGGCTGGGCCACGTGTTACGCATCCCAGCTTATCGGCTCCCGCGACGTGCGTTGTTTGCGCACCGGGGGTGTGGATGGAAGAAGAGGAGGGGTGGCCAAACGTTGACTTGGTCGAGCGGAATGAAGGCCCTCAGTTCGGAGCTGGCCTCGGTTGGAGCTTCACGGCTCCCGGGTTGGGGACCATAAGACGATGAACACCTTTGGCTCGATACAGTTGCTGACATGGCTAGGAGCCGATCTCTGTGACGTCCGTGTTGTGAGTTTCTTTGTCCCTTCCCATGCTTCTTAACCTCTCCCTCCGATCACGACCCCATTTATTAGCGTAATATAATTTTACATAATAATTTTTTGTTGCCTAGTAACCGGCTGGTAGCTTTCCGGAACCATGTTCATCAGCTACTGGTAGCTCAGCTGGCGTGCATCTCTTGCATATTTTTTCTTTTGTGTATTGCGACACGGGAGACCTGGTGTTAGTGAAACTATACGTGACGAGAGTGGACAGCCTATCCACAACTTATCAAAACGCCTGGAACATTGGGCTGAGGACTTTGAAATGTAGTTTAATCGGTCGGACTTGTTAGATTTCTCGCCGACCAGTGATCGCCCTGCTCCCTGGGCTGTTCCTTTGGATCCACCCTCTCGCTCAGAAGTCGAACATGAGATCAAACTGTTAAAGTTAAATAAAGCCGCGGGACCTGCTGACCTTCCTCCAGCCCTCTTCAAATTCGGGGGACCTGCTCTTGTGGATGATTTACACGAGTTACTAGTGAGACTGTGGGAGCAGGAAACTGTCCCAACCGACTGGAGCCGTTCCATCATAGTCCCAATTTTCAAAGGAGGCTCACGATCGGAATGCGGCAGCCATAGAGGAATCAGTCTGATCTTCATCGCCTCCAAATTGCTTGCCTCTGTCATCCTTCACAGACTGACTGGCACTCTTGAAATCCAGATTCGTGAAGAACAAGCCGCCTTTCGTCGAGGTCGTGGCTGCATTGACCACATCTTCACCTTGCGTCAGTTGTTGCAGCGCCGTCACATATATTGGTGGCCCACCGTTGTCGTGCTCCTCGATATCAAAGGTGCATTCGATTCTGTGGATAGACATGCACTTTGGGACTGTCTACTCAGGAAAGGTGTACCTGAGAAATATGTGGATATTATCCGAGCATTATATGCGCGTAGCTCAGGCAGAGTGAGGGCATACGTCAAGTTGTCGTCGCCCTTTAATATCTCCAGCGGCGTGAGACAAGGATGCCCACTGTCACCTTTCCTCTTCAATTTCGCTGCTGACGAAGTCATGGAAACCGCGTTTACAGGACACGACTTAGAAGGTGTGGATCTGCTCCCAGGAGAACGACTTCTTGATTTAGAGTATGCTGATGATATTGCCCTCATCTGTGACAGCTCACAAACGTGCCAAGCGGCACTGGACAGATTAGCACTAGCTGTCCGTCACTTTGGGCTTTGCTTCGCATCCTCGAAGTGCAAAGCGTTTCTCCAAGATTGGCCTGGACCGCCTGCTACACTGACCCTTGGTGGGGATCAGCTAGAGGTCGTCCAAAAATTCAGCTACCTGGGAAGTTGTATCAGCGCCCGTGGGATTGAAGATGAAATCACGAATCGTATAGCAAAAGCTCGGGGCGCTTTTGCTAATCTTCGCCACTTATGGCGCCGGCGCTACATCACTCTTGCCCTGAAGGGTAGAATGTACAATGCAGCAGTACGTTCGACCCTATTGTACGGTTGTGAAACCTGGCCGCTTAAAGCAGCGGACCTGAAGAGGCTAGTTACGTTCGACCACCGGTGCCTTCGTAATTTAGCTCACATTTGGTGGGAACACCGCGTGAGTAACCAGCGTGTTCGACGCCTTGTTTATGGCACAGGAAAAGGGAATGAACCGCTCAGCACCGTTATTTCACGCATCAGGCTCCGATGGCTCGGCCACGTGTTACGCATGCCAGCCCACTGACTTCCGCGACGTGCGTTGTTTGCGCGCCAGTGGTGTGGATGGAAGAAGAGGAGGGGTGGCCAATTGATGACTTTGTCGAGAGGAATGAAGGCCCTCACTTTTGAGCTGGCCTCGGTTGGAGCGTCTCGGCTCCCTGGTTGGGGTCCGAAAGACGATGAACACGTTTGGTTGGACACACTTGCTGATATGGCTAGGAGCCGACCTCAGTGGCGTTCATGCTGTGAGTTTCTTTGTCCCACCCCATCCCTCTTAGCCTCCCCCTCCAACCACGATCTCATTATTTAGCGTTATATAATTTTGCATAGGATTTTTTGATGCACAGTAGCCGGCTGGTAGCTTACCGGAACGATGCCCATCCGTTAACGGTAGCTCAGCCAGCTTTCACCAGTTGTTTTTTCTCTCTCCTTTTTTCTATGTATTGCGGCACAGTAGCTGAGGTGTTCGCCACCTCTAGCTAACGTGTATGATGATGATGATGATTGCGACACGGATTACTGTTTGGAAGCAGCAAAAAGATATTTCTTTGTTGCTGCCTCTAATATCACTCAGGTACAAAGACCCGTTATGTTGGAGTACGCTCGATATAGTTTATATCGCTGAAGTGTTTGTCCAGGAAGTTCTTAAATTCCGACACCGGCTTTGCCTCAGCTACGTGCATCGGCAGGTTTGTTCCATACATTCACCACTCTCCGTTCGAAACAGAGTTAGTGGGCGACCCGCTTCAAATCCGGTACGAAAAGCTTGTACCGGTGCCCTCGTATGTTGTTTGCTGTACGCGGATGCAGCAGCAACCTCCACATAAGTATTTGCCGTGATGTACTATCCGGTGCGTCATGATGAGATCAACCCGAAGTCGTCGATAAGCTAGGGTGTAAAGTCTCAGTTTCTTACACCGCTTTTTGTACGGCACACCTGGTAAATTGGGAATCAGCCTGGTGATCACATGCTGCATTCGCTCAGTCTTTTCTACCTCACCCCGGGTGATAGGACAATACGCGGGAGAGCCATACTCTAACATTGGTCGTATTATTGAGACGAAGAGGCGAGTGACAATCTCTTCGGACCAAGTGCTGAAGCTGCGTCTGAGCTCCCAAAGCCTACGAAGGCTGTTTTGCTAAATCCTATTCGTGTTGTCCATGGACTTTAGGTCGTAGCGTGAGAGTACACCGAGGTCGCGCACGAAAGGCGCAGGATGCAACGGTTGACCAGCCACCATGTAGGTTCGACTGTGCTCACGACGCTTACCCGGCCTCTATCTAACGTGTATAATGATCATGATGATGTTTTCCGTGCAATCGTAGCAGCATTGAAGATGAAACATAACTGGTGCAATCGCGTAGAGGTAACCTCAGCCAATTTCTTCGATGATATACTCACCCGAAAGGCAGTTGGCTGTGCGCCATGAGTCAGTGAACCTACGCACGCGGATTTGTGTCCTGATTCCTTACTAGAAGTGTCTAATACAACACGTGTGATTGATTGACTGCCTTACTTTCTAGGGTATAGTCAGCAGGGATAACTTATAGTGAAAATGTCACTGTATGTCTAGTTAGTCGGTTCTGATATGTTCACTGAAATTTCTTTACAGTCAATACACCTCAAGACAGGGGCACAGCGTCTGGTGTTTCCCGGATTGGTATCTCGCTTATGCGGCTTGTAATCTAATTTCGATGAGCCAAATAAAATAGTGTTTATTGTATGCGAGTGCGGTTATGGAGCTAGGCGCATATGCGCGACTGTTGCCATCTTTTGGATTTTATCTGAAGAACAATGCAGCTTGTTGGGAGTGAACCAAAATTAGCCTGGCTTTGTAAGCCCATTGAAAAGCTTCAGCCAGTGATCTGTGTCCAATGGCTTCATAAGAACTACTGAAACAAGATTCTTCACTAAGTTGAAAGTGCCGCACCTGTGTAACCAAATCCAGAACATCATGATCTTTGCTAACCACGATATAGGTACCTCCTTCTAATAGGCCATCCACAATTCTCTTCCTCTTTTTCCTGTTTGTTTCATCCTTTTTTATTCGCTTTTTTTGTCCCCTGTCACAGGGCCACGCTCTCATATATGTGACCTCTGCGGTAAATCGTTTCTCACAAAGCGCTGTTTGCAAAGGCACACCAGTGCTCGTCATTTAGGTGAGTGTGTAACACTAACGGTGCCGCTTACGTTGTGACCTCGTCGTTGATTTCATTTGGTTTCAGCTGAATCAACATTGCGTTGTTTTCACTTTGAAGCCAAATGTTATTGTGCAAGCGGTTTCTGTTGTAACCACGTACTAATAGAATGATCATATTACGCGAATCCATGTATTTGATCACTTTGCGTTACAGGCCTAAAGTTGGACAACTGCACTGCGTCAGCCCATGTTGCCGAGTCCCACGCTGCTCTGGCCATGATGGTGTATTCAAAACTGTGATCAATAGCGGTTGATTGATTATTATTGTAGTTGGGTTAGTTAGGATTGGTCTAACCCTATCACCTTCCCGCAAAAAAGTTTTACTTGCATGTTCTTGAAGTTCTGTCACATAGATTGTTGCAGCTGGAAAGGAATGGGAACTGTTTTTTTCCACATGCCATCGACACCTGAATTGAGACCACTAACGGATTTTTTGACATCGAGCTGTCTGTTCCAGTATAAAGTTTTGCCAATGGGACTCAGATCTGCTCCAACAGCTTGGCAGTAATTCATGAATCACTCAATAGCTGATCTACCGGGACAAGTCGCTTACATGGATGATATTTGCGTTTTCGGACCTTCAAGGGAAGACCACGATTCAAGGCTACGCGCCGTTTTACACCGGTTGGAGAGCCTAAATCTTCGGCTTAATCTTGAAAAGTGTACATTTTGTGCTACTGAAGTCGAATTCCTTGGGTACATCTTATCATCTGGTAGAATCCGACCATACACCGCTAATACTCGGGCTATCATAGAAGCCCCCATACTGAATGAGTGCATCTAAGGTTAGGCCATTTTTAGTCTGTGTTCGTCCAACTTACGCCATTTGCCCGATTTTGTTACCCTAGCGGAGCCCTTGAGAATGCTGACATATATATCTGCAAAAGTCTGTTAACAGACATAATGCCATCAGAAACCACGGGATTCAAACGAAGGTACAGAAACAGTAAAATAAAACACAACACAACAATGTCCATGGTTTCCTCAGAGGGCGAGTTACTACCCGGTTGTCCAAGCCGAAGCAGGGTGTTAACTTAGGGGACATTACCCCAAGCCTTTGGCTAAATAGCCTGTCCGCAAGGCAGCGGAGCGAATTCAGGGAATCGCGCCCATTGGGAGCCGGTGACTGATTGCTCAGTTCATATGCCTTTCGTTTGTTCCTTTGTCAAACAGGGGCCCAATGCTCCCCAGAAGTACAGCATAAGGTTGCTGGAATACAATGCTTCGCCAGGATGAAGCAAGGGGCAGTGACTTTATTTAGTGGCGAGTCACACTCGCCACGTCACAGTGTTGTTAAACGGACATATGTGGCTTTTTATAGGGAGAATGCATGTCAGGCGATAACCCACCACGTCCTGGAACACTGCCGCCGAACCATTTGCTGCAACGGGAAAATCCCGTACCACCCAGATGGCACCACAAGGAGGTTGTTCGGCAAGCCAGCCAGCGGAGGTTGTTCGATAAGCCAGCCAGCAAGCCAGAATGCTGACATAATAAATTGCCACCTTCGACTGGGCTCCTAACAGCTGTCTGCCTTTGAAGAAATTAATAGACGTCTCTACACCAATGCTGACCATTTTCGATATAAACTGTCCTGCGTTCGTCTCGACGGATTTGTCAAACATCGGTTTAGGAGCGGTGTTTTCGCAAATGCAGAACGCTGAGGAGAAAGTGATTGCATATGCCTCTAGAAAATTCTCCCCTACAGAGGTTTCATACTCCACCGGTGAAAGGGAGGCCCTCGCCTGTGTCTGGGCCTGTGAAAATGGCACATATTCATGTTTGGTCGGAGGTTTACATTGCGTACAGATCACCCTGCTCTAACTACTCCCCTCATAAGTCGAGGAACCAATAATCACAAGCAACTGCGGATTAACCGCTGGTATGCGCGTTTACTGAACTACGATTTTCAAATCACATTCTGCCCTAGCTCCGAAAATCATATGGCAGATAGCTTATCACTTCTTCCATTGGACGATTCCGATAAGTATGAGGACAACGAAGAAAAAGTCATGGTTTCCGCTTTACATTCAAGTGAGCTTTCCACCGTAACTAAGCAAGAGCTTCAAGAAGCTAACCAGTGACCCAAATGTACAAGCCGTTTTCCGCTACCTCTCTCAAGACTAGTCTTGCTGCACGAAGTCCAGTGGTGAACTACGGACGTTTTATGTTTTAAGACACGAGTTAGCGGCCATTGATGGTTGCCTTATGCGGGGATCGCGATTCGTGACTCCTCAGTGACTAACGTCAAAAATTATCCAATGTGCACACGAGGGACATCCGTGTGTCGTACGAACGAAGCGCCGACTTCAAGAACACTTTTGGTGGCCTAAAATGGCAGAGGCTTGTGTCCGGTCTTGCGATGCGTGTCAAACCGCCGACTAGAACTCTAAGCCGATCGACGCACCCATTCAACCTAACGTTTGTCTTATGTAACCCTGGTCGAAGGTGGCGGTTGACATCATGGGATCACTTCATTCTACACCGCAGCACCAGAGAAACTGTTACGTGGCCACGTGTTTTCACAGTAAATGGCCTGAGATTCACCTTTGTGGCGATGTGAACACAACTGTTATAAGGTGGATGAAGCGTCTGTTTGCTAGATTTGGGCTTCCCGAAGAAATTGTGACGGACAACGGGCCGCAATTCACAATCTACGAGTTCGGATTTTTCCTACAACCGCGATGTGAAACACATACAAACTGTCCCGTACAATCCAGCTGCCAAGGGAATAATTGAGCACACAAATCGCTCGCTAAAGGGAAGTACATATATATATATATATATATATATATATATATATATATATATATATATATATATATATATATATATATATATATATTCACAGCCTGTTAACAGATATTGTGCCATCAGAACCATGGCAGAAAAAGAATTGGAGAAGATAGGAACACGAACTGCGATTAAAAAATGGGAAACGCTTTTTTGGTTTTACACACGCCATTTTGAATTTTTTGTTTCTATGTTATGCGTTTTTTGTGTGTATTAAAGGGGGGATATAATGGCATAACAACATTGACACCACTTATGTCTGTTGCGTGCCATAACTTCCAATGTTTCCAATCACTGCGATTTAGCATCTCGTGGTCCACAACCTGGAAGACGGACTGGTCCGACTACCGCCAAACTTGAGGTTGCCTTCTTCATGCTCCTTCTCCATCTCATTAGCTGTCCACCGCGGCACTTTTTCCAATCGCTCCCCGGGAGTGCAAATAGCGCTGGACGTGGAAGGCGATGGGCTGGCATGCGCAAAACGTGCCCGAGCCAACGCATGCGATGTCGGAGAATAAAGTCATCAGGGCTACCGGTTGCAACTTCCACGCTATCAGCCAGAGGATTTGCGAATCAGACGGCACAAAGATCACCAACCTTCACAGGCGATTGGGTCGCTGGGCAGAGCATTTCGCTCTTCAATTCAACCACCCAACACAGCCCCCTGTGACACCTCCAGTCCCAATGGATGATACTTGGCCTGTCTCCACAGTCCCCCTCCAATGAAGCAGAGATCCGAAATGCAATCCAGTCTTTGCAACACCCCAAGGCTACGGGTCCTGACTGCATACCACTGGCTCTATTCAAAGATGGCGGGAGTGTACTCGTCAACGAAATCCTATCGCTGTTCGCGAAAGTTTGGACTGAGGAGAAGGTTCCGAACTCATGGGGAGAATCGGTCATTGTTCCGATTCACAAGAAGGGCTCCCGCGACGATTGCTACAACTACCGCGGAATCTCGTTAATCTCTGTCGCACCCAAAGTCTTCGTGTCGGTCCTACTTCACAGGCTTTCAACAACTAGAGGGGAGTTCTCCAGAGAAGAACAAGCCGGATTTCTTCCAGGCCGCGGCTGCATCGACCAAATCTTCACGCTCCGCCAACTTCTCGAACTCCGTTACATCCACCGCCGGCCAACAATCGTAGTGTTTTTGGACATCCGAACGGCATTTGATTCAGTAGATAGATCTGCATTGTGGAACTGTTTACTGAAGAAAGGTGTGTCCGACAAGTTTGTAACCATCCTGAAAGAACTTTACAGTCACACATCGGGCAAAGTCAGGGCTTACGGTACGCTCTCTTCTTCGTTTGCTGTGACCAGCGGTGTTCGCCAAGGTTGCCCTATTTCATCTTTCCTCTTCAATTTCGCCATCGAAGATGTCCGAAGTGCAGTGGAAGGGGTCCACGACTGTGGTGTTGAGCTTCTCCCTGGGGACAGAGTCACGGACTTGGACTACGCCGATGATGTCTCCTTGCTGGGGGACGACTCACAAACCGTCCAGAGCGCTTTGGACCGCTAAGCGATAGTGGCGTCTAAGTACGGCTTATGCTTCACTCCGGAAAAATATCAAACAATGCTCCAGGACTAGCGGGTGCCTTAAACCCGCGCTCACCATTGCTGGACATGTTCTGGAGCAAGTCCCTTGCTTTACTTATCTAGGGAGTTGCATCGCGGCTGGTGGCGGTGTTGTAGATGAAGTCTCACAACGGATTGCAATCATCAAACTGAGACATTTATGGCGTCGTCGTGATGTTAGCCTCAAGCTCAAGGAAAGTATACGCACAGCATTGGGAAGCTGCCGTAGTCGAGGCTCTGTTTACCCACAGAGCGACCGATCACACGCCAGAGGAGCTAATGTTCGTTCGGCAGGAAGCTACGCACGAAGTTAACCCCAGCTATTTTGGCAACGGAAAACAGCGATTCCCACCAACTGGAGCGTTGCCAACGTTATCATTCCTCAATCCATACCGTTGCGTCCCGGAACGTTAGTCCAGTTAAAGGAAAAGCAGACACGTAAGGGGAAACCAGCATTATCGCGCCCCATCAGAATTACTCGGACATTAGGGCCAGGAACGTACGAGTTTGCAGACGGCCGACATGTTAACACCAGACAGCTTTACTCAGCCCTCCAACCGAACGCAGAGTCAATGTCCAAAGCAGGGTGCCTAGCAGCTCAATTGTCACTCATGCTGTTGCGCTCATTTAGGGAGGGGGTGATGTAGCGCCTACCGCAAGTTCCACTCATGTCTGTCACGCCACAAACCCCACCGCACCGCAGCCTGCAATTGGTTGGTTGAGCGTCACTAAAGCATCAATATCAAGGTCATTACGCCTTTACCTTAGCTGACTCACTTTTGTGGATAGTGTCCTGAGCGTGTCCGCCCCGTGTCCTGCTTTCGTTAGTAGGTTTGGCCCCTAGTGATTCAAGACCCTGTTTTCGCAGAGGACTAGTGGGCGCATTGAAATACAACATACCTGAAGGTCAATTCCAAAACACTCGTAACAATCATGCACATCATCATCCATGAACCCAGGCGTTGCGAAAAGCAGTTTAGTATAACGACAAGCATCCATCATGTGCATTCGACCTGACCACCCACAGTTCCATTTATTGGAAAACGTATCCTTGGACATTGCACGGTGTGTTCTCACTCTAAGTCTTCATCAAGCACTGCGAGTCGCAATCCAACCACACAGTGGGTACACCAAATGCCACTTGGAATTCTTTACCGCTGTGCCAAGCGTTGCTCGCGGATCTTATAGCCATGGTGGTCAAGGCGTCAATCTTTGAACACCAGGCCTCGAGCTCCATCCCAGCTCAGGCTATCTCCATCTGATGAGTCCAAAGGAGGACGAAACCGATTATGGGGTGTCAGGGTTGGGAGGAGCAACGCCGAACCACCAAGCACTGTTTTTGCTTTTATTCCCCAGCCTCAAGCATCTGCGGCCTTCCTGCGTTCTCCTTGAGTGTTGACCCGTTACTCTCCTGTTTGCCCATTTCTCTCGTAGCACTTGTTTCTAGTGCAATTATACCTACTTTTAGGGCAACACACTCCTTTCCCTCCGAATTGTTCACAACCTTTGCGTTTCACAGCGTATTTCTGACCTTGATTTTTGTTCTGCATTCATCACGTCATCAGTTCATTGTTCCTATTCACTGTGCCGAGCGATTGAATCAACAGGCTTCTCCGGTTGACTGCCTCATACAGCCTCTTGTATTTCCTTGGGATTTTCCTTTCCCTTGAACAACATGTATGCACACGTTGTTGATTTCTGAAGCTCACTCTCTAGCCTCTGGAAAACTCACTCATCGTTTCCCCATTGTTGTTTAGGGCATTTTCCATCGTCTGCGCCTGAGTCGCCTTCTCGCTACAGTTAGCTACCTTTTTTGCTCTCTTAAAATTTCTTTGGATATGTTTAGCAGATTGTTCGCATTCCAGCTTATGGATTCCCAGGCGTACGAACTCGCCGACTTTAGATCATTTGTCAATGCTTGTTTGTATGGCTGATGAGAAAACGGAGAAACCTCCTTTCATCTCCTTCTTTTATAGCCATCCACTCTCTAATGGTCTTATTTTTCCACTGGGTCTACTTAGCTGTTTGTGTATGGATTGTCCGCAGCTTCTTGCTACTGGCTTTTTCCAAAGCTACCGTGCGATCACCACCAACAGCGAAGTCATCCGCGACTACGCAGATTCGAGTCCATGACCTCCTCATGACAATGCGGACTAGTAATGTTTTCGGCCACCATTCCGTAGGGCGAGGTCTAGTACGGACAGCTCTCGAAACACGGTCCCTGCTTTGTTAATGTAGCCTAATTTATTCCCCGATTTTTTTATCACGTTTTACGACGGCACAGCTTATTGTGCCCCCCACTGTTGATCCGCGATCCATATAAAGTACTCGGTCGTCACCCATATGTATTTGTTGCGTCATCTGGTTAATGAACGCAGTCCCATTACGTGAAGTGACCCTAGTTCACCCACTTCGGTTACCTTGATGTGTCTCGCTTGTTGCTGGGCTCCTTGACAATCGGTTTTCAGGAGTTGGTATTGCTGGCGCTAGGGCACATAGGTCTTTACATCCTGCTACATCCCTGGCTGGTAGGCACGTTACCTCAACACATTGTATGCCCTGGTGCAACCACCATGTACAGCTTCATTAAAATTGGCCAGCAACTTCTGTTTCATTTTCATTGAAATCACCAGCACCGAGTTCTTGCTTCCTCCTTGTGTCCACATACGGATTCCGCCCGATCATCTTCCTCAGACTCGCCTTGTTATGATAGCTCGCCCCTCATATTTAAACTTACCTTATTTATTCTGTTTCGGTAGCTGTGGTCTTTGGCGTTTCCCAACGCCTCGGCAGTCAACCTTGCGGTTGTTAATCGCAACCCCCTCCTAATTATCTCGACATTATCCAAGCCGGTTTCATGCCTATGTCTAACGGTTCGATTGCCACCCCCGAGTCCCGCAGTGGAGCCCTGGATTCGACATCGATCCTCGGTGGCGATTATCCTTCTATTTTGCTATACATGCTGGTTCGCTTGCACTGACGAAGGTTTTGTGTCCCGAACAGTCTTGCTGGTGTTGTTGATGCGTCCGAACTTGGCCGTTTCCATTGACTGCAACTGTGTGCAAACAACATGCGGTCCTCAGCAAACAGTAACCTACGGATCGTCTGCTCGTTCACACAGTTTCACGCCCTGAAACGATGGGTGTTCACTAACTCATTATCAATTCTGTGCTCCAAACAGACAGCGTAATCACAACCATTTATAGTGTAGGATATCATGGTAGAGGCTAAGACACAATCTTTCTTCACACAGCAGACAGTATCGAAGTCGTCCTCGGCCGCGTATCACTGTGCAGGCAACCAGTAAATCTAAGAAGCTTACCTAGGCAATATAACTTACCTAACGGAAGGTACAACGCCTCGCTGTTACTCATTTGGGCTGATGAACCATGCTGCTTTTTTGGAGTCATACAAATCTTGTCCATGGCGCAGTTGCACAAGCCGTGGGCTAGTTGGCACGAGCTACTAGCGGTCATGGGTCCGATCCTCCGTAGAGGACCGAAGGTTGCGCACCACTGACGTGCCCCAATAGGGCGAACGGGCCGTCTGGTGCTTTTCCGGATAGGTAGTTGACTTATCTAAATTCTCGGCTGACTGCGACGAACAAAATTACTCACAAAGTCATTCTACTCGTAAGTAACCTTATAGCTTTTTAATATGCCTCAACCAGTGTTCTGTGTTCAATGGCTTCATAAGAACTATTGAAACGAGATTCTTCGCAAAGTTGAAAGTGCCAAACCTGTAACCAAATCCAATTGGACCCACATGCAATATTTTATGAAGGAATGCGACTTCTCTTTGTCGGACATCATTCTAAACCCAGTGCAACATCTGTTCAGCACAGGGGCAAGGGTTCCGTACTTCAGTGCACCGGTTCTTAGTCACATGGAAAGCTGTGAAGGCGTTTGATGAGACCTGCAGTCACCCAAAACCGTGCAACAATGGTGGCAGCTGTGTCCCCCTAAATGACATTTTGGGCGTGTGGTCAGCGGCTAGTGCTCTAAGCCAGAGGTGTAGCACGAGGGGCGGTCCGGCCCGGGTGCAGCATTTTTAGTACTGTTTCTTGTTCGATACAAAATATAAAAGGCAAAATTTCCAGATAAGCTGAGCGCTGATCATTAAATGTTGCCCTATATGACCAACAGCACATTTGCGCCATGTGTCACACTCGTGCAAACGTTCTTCCCAGCGATCCCTTTACCTATCCCATTGTGGTCACTTCATCACATTTATCTCAGTGTCCCAAACGGCCAACAAATTCATCGAAAACTAATGTGCACTTTAGCCCGAGCCGATTATGTGACCTTCACGCGCCTATTCTGCCCTCACTCAGAGCGAATATTATACCACCGCCCCTGGTGGCAAAACTAGTTGCTACGCCACAGCTTTAAGGTAAGGGATATACTGCCCGTCCAATTTGTCGGATTATGGTTGTGCAATAAGGGAGTATCGTATTCAGCTTAGATCATTTGGGAGATCTGAGAGTGATGATGATGATGATGAGGAGGAGGAGGAGGATGGTTATTTGAACCCCACCCGAACAGATTCCGCTTTTGGTCACGTCAGCATTGTGGTTCCCTCGCGGTTGCACCGGTTACGCTCCCTGTTGAATTGTTCCACCGAAACCTCTTTCTTCCTTATACACATTCGAATCATGGGGACATAGCAAAACCTTGGTGTTTTACGTCGTGCGCAACACTGTCATCAAGTCGTCGTCGCTAGCACATTGCTCACATGGTATTTTTCTTGTATGTTCCTCACATTGTGTGATACCTGGAAGTTGGCAGTCGAGGTTTCACATTGCGCTTATCTCATGGCCATCATGATATTTGCATACCACGACATAGGTGCATTCTTCTTGAAGTTTTTCCACGATTCTCTCCCTCTTTTCTCTGTTTGTTTCATCTTTGATAATTCGCTTTTGGTTTTCCAATCCAGGGGAACGTCCCCACACGTGTGACCGTTGTGGTAGATCATTCTTCCGAAAGGAACATTTACGATCGCATATCAATTGTGTTCATTTGGGTGAGTATGTAACTGAAGACTTACGTTGTTTTGTACCACCGTCGTTGGTTTCGCTTGGTTTCAGCTAAATCAGTATTGCTTTGTCTTCACCTCGAATCCAAATGTATTTTTGCAACTTGTTCCCTTTACTCATGCCGACTATTTCACATTGAAATGATTGAACCTCGTTTCTCTTTTGGCTATCATGTATTGGCCTCTGTGGAACGTTTGTGTGAGTTTCTGTGTAATTAAATGAATTCCTTTTAATTGTCCGGAGACCATTCTGTATCAACCCGTCTGGTTTCCTTTATTTCTCCTAGAAATGAACCCCAAACTTTTTCATGCGGTATCATATTTTAGGGTTCTTGTTAACTGTATTTTCGGTCTGTAAAGCAGCGACCTCACTGTGAACGAGAGCATCGGTTGTCACCGTCACATGTGGTATGCGAACCGAATTCTAAAACTTGAATCGATTCGATTGGGTAGTACTCCACCCTGTACATTCATTCGGGAGCGTCTTCCTAGACGTTGCACGATGCATACTTGTTCGAAGCCTTCAACATGAAATGCTTTTGCATTTTTCAATGGCGACATGCATCTGCGTTAGTCCGGTGTTCTTGTGTTGGGACTCTGATTTGGTCTATTGTTGACCCGGTGCTCTCCTGTTTGCACATTCTTCCCATAGTACTGGCTTCTGGTTCATCTGTATACCTACTTTACCTCCCCCTCCCCTCCAACACTAGATTCCATGAGACACTCAGTTTTCGTTTCCCGATGGTGTTCGCAGAGTATTAGGCCCCGAAACTTGGTGAATCCATTTGGCACGACTCGCTTCTTCAAGCAAATGAGATCAGTAATGATGTTCCGAAAGCTAGGTGCAACGCAAACGGAGTAGCTTCGTGGATGATAGCTAAGAACGCGTATTGCTAATCGTGACGGAAAATTACTCCTTCTTTCCCAGAAACCGTGCGCAGACGCACCATTGACTGTGCGGCTGCGCTATGTGTTCGATCAAATTTCCATGCACTAGTATTTACCATCTCTCCTCTTGGTAAGTAGCAGCCTGCCCCAGTCTTTTGGTCAGTTTTTACATGGCCATATCACGACATCCCTTACGCCTTCCTCGGCGTCGCATCCAACTAGGTGCGTCGCCTGCACGTAATTCACGCTGAGACATCAGAAATTCGAGTTTATTTGCCACGCGTGGATCAGTTTGATGGAGGCACACAGACGAGTTCCGTTGGGTACTGAGTTTCAGTGTGTTCATGTCATGAGAGCACATTATTTTCCTCTGAGTGAATGTACGAGATTTAATAACTACTTGCTTTTATATTACTCATGAGCAGCAGGCTTTTAGTTGTAATTCTGATTAGGCGTCTGGCGCTTTTCCGGACTAGGCTTTGCTATGTAGCTTGTGAACTATTGGGATAAAAGCCTTATCAGAACTACTTGATTTATCAATCGCAGAGGCAACCTAGATTAATGTTTCAACGGAACGGCTGATGGAGTGAACTATCGGGGCGGGCTCAACTCAGTCAGCTTTGATTGGAACTGCGCTTTGATCTGACCAGTTGCTGTTCATTCGTTTACTAGAGGCTGCGATCATTGCAACATTGATCCTTAAGCCAATTCTCCATGGCTTTACGGGGCGTATTCGACGGATGAGCGTTTGAGAACCACAGCTAATCACTTTGGCCAGTTCGCTTGAAGCAATTCGTACATCAGTTGTATCGCTCCATGTTCTACCGCTCTAGCAACAGCGTCTTCATTAGGCATACTTGGTTTCTCGCATTTACATCTGTTAGACACCCTTACTTTATTAATTTCTGGGCTAACATTATAACCGGTGTTCTTGTGCGTGTATCGTTTATTTGTGTTAATACTTGAAGCTACCGTTTTCTGATCCCCATTGTGACTCCTGAGTCAGGTATAATCACTGTCGACCCTAGTTCACAGTTCGGACATCAAGTTGCTCTTCATTGCATACTGCATATTGATACACTCAGCGGACCGAGAGAGAGAGAGAGCCGTCCGTTTCCATGAGTAGTCCACTAGTTTGTTGGGCATTTAATTAATGGAGTAGACACATGTTCATTGGTGTACCAAACCGTAGACCTTATCTGCTTTTCAGTTGCTCCTTTAATTTGCTGCAGATGATCTTAAAATTTCATAGGTGCAGCAGTAAATACGAGATAGTCAAGGAGCGTTAGGCATTTTTACGCCCTGTTCATAACCATTGGATAACTGAACAGAATTGGCTGTGTTTTCGACATCCCCATTGGCATTGTACAGTGATTTCGCGTCATCAAATAGGCATTCCTCGTGTTGTACACGACTGCATACGTCCTTTTTTCTGTTTCAGACCAACGAAATCACGCATGCGAATACTGTGGAAGGTCGTTTGACCTAATATGCCGCCTTCGGATGCACGTAGAAGCTGTTCACTTGAGTGAGTTCTACATTGCATGCACCGTCACTGTAGTTGTTTCCGATGACGCTGCGGACTTGTACGATCGTGCATCAAACTTTTTTATAATTAACTACTTTTGCTTCATTTTTGATTCCATGAGTTTGTTGCATTTGTCTATGGCTTTATTTAACACTGATTGTTAGTCGTTTGCTATGCCAATTCAGTTGGTTCAAAGAATAGTTCCAAGTGATCTGCATTACAATGTCACTCACATAAGCGCTAGTTGAAGTGACATTAAGCTGTAGCGCGATTAATTTTCTACCTACATCCCAGTCGTCACAATCATCTTACCAGTTTACTATAAGTTGACTTGACCTGAAGTAGCATTTGTGTTAAAAGCGAAACATTGGCCTCACACCATACCAAACGATTGGTTTCCATCCTTTCTGAAATCACAAGTTCTCGATCGGTTCCGAGCACTTTCAACATGCTGAATGTCTTTACGGACCTCCCGTTCCGAAATTGCCAAGTGAATTAGATCGATTGGTTGACCTTGAAGCTAAATGGTGGAGTCATCGTGTATTCAACATCAGCTGTCTTAAAAACAACACCTTGTCAGAATCTCGTGGTCAAGCCATCGGACAACTCTTGAACTTCTAAAATACCTTTCAGCGTAACCATAGCATTCTTGAAACAGTGGATTTATCTGATGGCTCGACACCTGCGTGACATTTGCCTCTCAGTGAAGCTCCTGAGCAGACTTCGACAAGCTTTGCAACGAAACTTCGAACATAAAGTCAACCCAGTGGAAGACTGCAAACAAAAGCTGTTCGTAATTAGTGTCGTTTGGTGTTTGTTCGTTATAAGGTCACCGGACTTTGGAGCTGTTGATCTTCTCTGATTTTCGCATTTCTTGCTACCATCGATTGACAATTTGCCAAAGTTGTTTATCAATGGCATTTCAGTATATAGAACATCAAGTCACCCACCCGAGACCTTAGCTCTTTCGCTGTATCTGTTTTAGTTTTTATGGAGCTCCTACCTGATTGTTCCCTGTTTTTAAGACTTTAAACTGCATTTACACAATAAGCTTGCTTTAAAAACATAAATGGGCATATATATACGTAAATGAAACTAACGATTGGGTGCTCATTTAGTATGGGTTCTTTTCGCTCATGTTCCGTAGGGACGTCGCTACGAACATGCGCAAGAAGGCACCACATTGATTGCCTTTGAACTCTCCCACCTGTCCCAACGGTGGGACGGATGCGGTGCGTTGTTACTTACTCAGGGAGAAAGCGAGAGGCAACCAAGCAATCAGGACCCACCTGGCTTACCACAACTACTTAGACTACTTCCTTAGATGGCCTGAGAGACTTGTTTTATCCATGATGATGAACTGGATGACTGGTTGTCCTGTGTGTGTCATCATCACCATCCTCTTTGCACACGTCGGCTGGTCGACGGAAATACCTAAGTTGTTGTGCCGCAATAAAAAGCAATTACAAGGTATTAGAACATATAAGATGGGAAAGACGACTTCAAGTCCTGGAAAGCAAAGAGGGAAGTTTGTATCCTGCCTCGAGGTTGTGGTTTGTGTGGGCTGCTAAGAGGGATGGGGACGGACCAAAAACTGCACAGTTTAAGCACCATTTGAGTCGGTTCTACGTTTTGTCAACAAATGTTCATTGTCTAGGACTACAATCCGGGGGTCAAGCAGCTCCACACAAAATCAACTTAGCTATGGGGACCTTCATTCCTCTTGGCCAAGTCATCGACTTGTCCCCTCTTTCTTTCCATTTGGATTTAGTCCTGCAAACAACGCTGCGGGCTGTTGCACATGACCAAACCATCGGAGCCTGGTGCGTAGAATAGTGGTGCTGAGCGTTTCACTTGCTCTTCTTGCGCCATTAACAAGACGCCGAACACGCTGATCGCTCACAGAGCCTTCACACCAGATTTGAGCCCAAGTGCGGAGGCATTAGAGATCGTAATTAGCCCCTTCCTGTGTGATGATTTGATGATCCAGGTTTCACAATCGTACATTAGGATTGGACGGACAGGTACTTTGAAGGCTTTGCCGTTCGGGACGATAGGAATGTCACTGCGGCGTCACAGTTGGCGGAGTTGAGCATACTCTCCTTGAGCTTTGGCCACACGATTTGTCGCTTCATACAACTACCTAGTTTGTTGAATTTTTGAACATTGGACATGGGGCGCTTTGTACCAATTTTGGAGAAACTTTTTGTATGTGGAGGTTGCAAAAAGGAACCTGAAACAGCTAACAGTTGCTATTGATCTGTACAGTGCTGCTTCGCACGTTCCTGAGCTGTCAAAGATAAGGGAATTTATCGCTGTTATACTCCAACTGAAGAAATTACTCGTTTGGGAGCAGCTCCACGCTTTCTAATACGTTGCTAGTGAACGCCGTTTCCACGAATCCGCCAATGTCGAAGCTGAATGAATGGTGGTGACATTGGCCATCCTTGTCTCACACGGCTAGAGATATTGAAGAGCGGTGGCAGTTTGCCAAATTCCCTTACTATTTTCAAGCTACGCGCGTAAAGCGCTCTGATATTGTTGTCGTATTTTCGGGCACATCTTTCCCAGCCAGCCGGTGACTGAAAGGATTACACACGTGTCTTGTAATCCGCGGAGGTCGCAGGTCCAAATCTGCGTAGGTGCGATTTGCCTCGCAGCATAATCAGTCCACACGCGACCGTTGGTGTTCGCGTGGCACCGAAACGTTGTTTCGGTGCGTGGACGTATTGCTAATGTCTTTCTTTTCTACCAGCGGTCCCGAAGAATTCACCTTTGATGTCGCGCAACAGGACGACAGGAGGTCGCCACTCAACGAGATGGTGCTCCGTGATCTGAAGATATGGTCGGTGCAACTTAGGCTAAATGCACCCTGCTCTTCATCAATCTGGTTTTTACATTCCCCAATCAATCTGTGAAGAATGACAGTGACAAGTAAGCTATAAGCGATGAAGACTAGACTGATACCTCTGTTTGATGCATATCAAACTTTAACTTTCCTTGTAAATCAGGACAGTAACATATGTACTGCAGTTGGTGGGGACAGTTTTACCCACAGCTTCACTATTACATCATGCAGTTCGTTCATGCGATCCGGTCCCACCGAATTTGATGAGTACTTCCTTATTCGACTCCAATAACCCGATATCACATTTGACTTCTGACCGGTTAAATTGCTTTCCGAAGTGCACCTCCCAACGCTGTAAGCTTTTTGACAGGTTGTCGATATGTTGTCCGCTCTCATCGCACGTAAGTTCGCTGTCATTAATTATCCTGCTGCTCCTTTTCCCGTGTCAGGTGGAATGAATTGCTATGGTTAGCGTTGACTTTCTTTTGTGGCGCCCAGAGTATGAAGTTGTGCGTATCGCATTTGATGGGGTGCACTAGCGGGTTGACTCGAAACCTTGGTGGTTCATCGTAATATTCTCTCTCCTTCGCGCTCACAGTACTCCACGATGCTCTATCTGCTGTTAACACGCACGGTTCGGTAGCTCTGCTAGAAATTGTCTTAGACTTTGCACATTTGCATCGAAAAGAAGTACACGGACCGAATAAAGTTGAAAAACGTCGTCGGATGCACAGTCTGATAAAGACCAAAAGCAGCGTCCAACAATGCCCATCACCGGTGGCTTTGAACATGCTGATCAACAACTACTAACAACTGATGTCGGTACTCAAAATACCGTAAGTCGCCTGTTTGCGATAGCTCGTCGAATCTCGGGGATTATGTTCCTCGTTGACACTGGGGCGGAACTCAGCGTTCTCCCACCACGCCCAAACGAATCGATCAAGCAGCCAATGGAACGCCCATAGCCATTTTTGGCTAAAATCCCTACACCATTGAGTTTGGACTAAAACGCAAATTCCGCTGGATTTTTACAATAGCTGCTGTATCTTTTGCTATCCTCGGAATCGATCTCCTACATCATTTCGATCTAATGGTCGATTCCCGTCGACTGAAGGCATCCGACAAACAAACGCTTAGTTGAGACGTCATCAGAAACGATACTTCCCATTTATTCCCAACCACAGACCGACAAAACTTTCCCAGGGCTGTTCACACAGTTTCCGCAGTTGGTACGCCCTTCGTACATCTTTCTTCCAATAGCCACCGATGTTACGCACTGTATATGAACTCGTGATCCACCAGTCTCCGCTCGGGTACGATGCTTTGCTTCTGAAAAATTGAAATGGCCAAGGCAGTATTCGAGCATATACTCGAACTTCGTGTTATCCGCCCTTCCTAAAGTCAGTGGGCTTATACGCTTCACATGGTACCAGAGAAGACTGGCGACCCGGGTGGCGATTATCAGGCGCCGAACACATTGCACCTGTCCTGACAAGTATCATATTCCACATATTTACAGTCTCACTAGCTGTGTTTAGTAAAATCAATTTAACGGGAACCTATCACCGAATTTCGGTTGAAGATTGTGATAATTCTAAGACCGCTGTCATCACGCATTTTGTTTATTTGAATTGCGGTTGCTTTTGGCCTGAGTAACGCCGCACAACGCTTCTGAAGGTCAATACATGACGTTATACGCGGCTTAGCTTCCGTGTAATCTTATATGGACGACATTTTGCTTGCGAGCACCTCCAAGTCAGAACATCTGGAGCACTTGAGACTGCTATTTCATCGTCTGTGAGATCGTGGAATTACCATTAACCCCGCTAAGTGCAATATAGGTAAACAAGCGGTTGCTTTCTTGTGTCATAGGATTTCTGCATCAGGTATCGATGCTCTTCCCGAAAAAGTCGACGCGATCGAAACTTTTCTGAGTCGTCATCTTTCAGACAATTCCGACGTCGGCACAATAAAGTACTACCGCCGACTCATTTCCAATTGCGCAAAGATAATGTAACATCTAACTGACTTGCTTCGTAGTGGTGAGTGCACTTATCACTGATTCTACTCGATTCTCTTTCGCATAACTCCAAAAGCCGTTACAAACACTGTCCTTTTGATGCATCCACAGCTAAATGCTCCTCATTCTCTGGAAACAGATGGTTCGAACGAAGAGATGGGAACGGTTCTTCAATGAGTCCTGTCAACCATTATGTTCCTTTTCGTAACGGTTGCAACCATCCGAAACCCGTCGCAGCGCTTTCGGACGAGGACTTCTAGCTATTTATCTAGCTATCCTCTACTTTCGTTCTCCTCTTGACAGTAGTGACTTCGTAGGTTTTGCCGACCACAAACATCCAGTCTACGCCATTCGTTCATTTTTCGATAAATACTTTCCTAGAGTGATACGCCGCCTAGACTTTGTCTAATAGTTTACGTCAGACATACAGTACGCCTAAGGTGTTGAAAACCTTGTTGCAGGCATCTTATCCCGAGTCAGTTCGAATACACCTGGTCGCAACACCGATCTAGGAGCAGTGGTTGCTTCACAACAGGCCGATGCGTAAGTGGATCAGCTTCGCACGTTTGGTTCCCTCCGCATTCTACCAGTTCCGTTACTACGTTCGGAACGAACGATACCTTACCATGTCTCCTAAAGTCATCAGCGCTCTATTGTTGCCCATGCTTTTCGTCGTACTGTGTTCGACACACTACATCTTATCACATCCAGATATTCACGCTTCGCTCAAGCTCGTCCGCAACATTTCGTGTGGCGCAACGTCAACCGAGATGTCAGTGGGCTCGCACATGTTTTCGCTGCCAACAATCGAAAGTGTAACGTCATGTAACTGGATCTACTTACCGTTTCCCGACAATCAGCTCTCTACTCGCCCATACCCACATAGTGTATTCCACCCTCACATGGCATAGCAAATCCGAAATCAGATGCGGCCAACCATATGACCTGGTCTAACTGTTGACAATCATCGACCACTTCACCACGTGGCCATTAGGTTCGGATGCTAAACATTAGCACGGAGGAGGTCGTTCTATTATTCATGGGTCGCTGGGTCTCTCCTTACGGTTGGCCAGCCACCGTAACGACAGACAGAGGATCACAGTTCGAGAGTGCACAATTCCAAGAGACGGTAAAACCTTTAGGTTGCAAACATTCACCTACTACCTCGAACGGTATAGTGGAGCGTTTCGATCGTCAACCCAAGATCAGCCTCACTGTAGTTAACCTACTTCAGTGGATACACTTGTTGCCTACTGTCATGTTACGTATACGCGCTAGCCTCAAAATCAATTTACAGGTATCGAGTGCCTAATTTTTTTCGGTTAACCACTTCGTTTATCAGGAGACTACTTCACTACCGCTTCCGACGCCAATACATATGACGCTTTGCAAAGCAACTCGCTTGACGTATGCGTCATCTCGCACCTGCTCACACCTACGTGCAGAGCCAGAAAACCGCGGGAACTTCAATTTTTTACACAGATATCCGTACGAGCTGATGGTGTCAAGCATTTCATGTCTCCGCCATATGGAGGACCAGCTAGAGTCCCCCAACGGAACGACAATGTAGTTATCATCGATCGCCACGGAAAGGATGGGTCAGTATCTATCCTTCACTTAAAGGTTGCCTATATCAACAGCGACAATGCCTCTAGGAAGACGCATGTTTCTCTACCAACGACACACAGTCCTAGCAGTTCAGCGATGTCCACTGCGATTCCTACAGCGTCGTCCACTGCACCTAGAGCGACTAAATGTGGCCGACAGGTATATTTCTTCGTCGCTTTGTCCAGACAGTGCATTTTTCTGCTTGAGTCCCTATTACTATTTTTGATAACAACCAACGATTTTAAAACCTTAAAATTTAGAAAACCCGAAACGTTGTCCCACTATTATTTTGGTTTAGCACTTATTCTTGCTATGTACTTTAGTCACTACCGTTTTCCATTTGCTTTTTAAATACACCTGTTAACTCGGTCGCACATTCACGATGGGGCCGGATGCTTCAACTTGTGCATTGAACTTTTGCCGTCGAATTGCTGCCTTCCTACGAACCGTTTCTTTTCAAAAACATCATTTCAACACCAACACAAGTGGGAGCCCGCTAGGGTCCGATCGCCAGGTTCTCCCCCAGTAGCTGCATCAGTTTTCACCACCTGATCTCGCTGAAGGCTGGCTGACGACGGCCAGTCCTCACGTAGCTCAAAGGACTGTTTATACAGTTCCTTCTGTGAAAGTGTCGTGAATCTGTCCGTAATCTCTCCCGGTTTGTCGGAGTATGTTTTATGAGATACTAAATAAAATTGTCATCGTTGTACTTGAGCGAGTACAACTTGATACTTATTTTTGTAGCACTGGTCTCCCTCTGTACCTGTAATGATTGGGGGTAAGTGCGAACTCTCCGATTGTGGCCCAGAACTCCCATGCTTGTTGCCAGAGCGCCCGTTCATCTGCCTGTAACAGTCTGGAGATTCCTCCGGTTTTTCTGAGTTCGTTGTATAAAGTACTAGATAAAATTATCAATTTGTTGTACAGTTAAAAGTGCATGGGAATACTCTACATCCTAACAATGCACCTACGTTCCATCACTTCCGTGTCTTCTCTGCTTATTTGGAAAGACGCTCGCTGATTCTAATCCAAGTCTCTTAGCGTGGGGTTGCCACTATCGCCACGCACTCACCGGTCTTTAAAACGGTCTAACCTGACTTTATTAGCGCTGGAATGTTGATAGCGATGCGTCGTTTCAGTTAGTGTGCGCATTTGCTTGCGATTGTCACCAAGGACACGGCCGAGGACCTTGTAAGGCTGGATGTAGCCGGCTTTTTGCGTCTTCGAGTGGATTTGGAAATTGAACACTCAGAAATATTTTCCTTTTGATTTCTCTAGTGACACCCGCTATACTATGATAACTCCCTTTTGGTACTTCGTGTGAATCACTGTTGGTGCATTGTTGAGCTTTCCGAAGCCCTTCACAGTCTGTAACTACGTGCACTCTTTCTCATTGTGTATCCCGATCGAGTACACTGCACAACTTTGTTTGCTGACCTTGTCGACCAGAGCGCCATTAGGTACATCAGAGTTATTGCCTAAGTTACGCAACTGGTCCTACTTTACGGTGAAATGGCATCTGTCGCCGCCTGGTCTTTTCTTCCGATACTGTTGTTAACATTACTGCATTTGTTATCTCAGATAAAAAGCCCTACAGATGCGAGCATTGTGGCAGATGCTTCTCTCGGAGAAATAGATTGAAACTACACCTTAACGCAATACATCCGAGTGAGTATTTATTTTGTGTGTGTTTAATGTTACCGATTACTCCAAGTATATTTACAGTGCTTCTGCTGAATTTCGTCAACATGCTGCCGACTGGTGCTCTATTTCATCTGATGTTATTCGTTGCACGTGTTGTCATGTTTAACTCCACCTTTGCTCCCGTGCCTCATCGTTTAAGTGGCTTTGGAAATTCAGATCACTCATTGAGTGAATCATTGCGATACACACTGTCGATGTCACCCTGTTTGATGTTGAGGCGTTTGAATCCCGATTGCCAAGCTCAGTGAACACATATACCCGTGAACAGTTAACTTTAGCTGACAGTGTTTCGAGGAATATCGATCATCTTTCACGGTCGATATGGATTTTCCTGCGCATCATTAGTTCTGTTATCCGCTGAGTTGTGTGGATGGGTACATTGGGCAGTTTGACGTGTTATCCCGAGTTAGAACATCAACTCTCTTTCACTGTTAGTTCTATGGTTAACGCCCATATGAGCCACATGGGCGTGGTCTAGCATATTTCTACCCATTTTAAAGGAATAAACTTCCGTATGTATGGTTCACTTCAAGTTCCAGTTTTGAAGCGCAGCGATTCGGGGAGACGACTTGCATCTTGCCGCTGGTTTTTGAATACCATAGACATCCATTCCATTACCGTTTTCAGTTTGCATGGAGCAGAGAAGCAGAATTTGTGGACAACGAATAATCCACGATGGTACGGCGTTTTCCGTGTGCGACATTGCGCATCTTCGTACAAGAAAATGTTGCAGACATGCGTCATCCCACGGCTGAAGACCAAAGGGGTATTGAGTCCGCTTTGGTAACGCCAGGATCGTGTACCTGCACGTTATGCACAAACGGCATGTGATTGCCTCAACGTGACTTTCGGTCACCGTTTGTTTAGTCGGGAAGGACCACCAGATTAGCTTGCTCGGTCACCGGGTTGTTTCCTATATAGTTACTTGAAACGGAAAGTTTACAATACATAGCTCCGTTCTCTTAAGGAGCTGAAACAGAGTATTTTGAACGCTAGTGCTAGCCAATAGCATCAGGGGACTTCTCTATTGCAATCAAAACGCCAACTGGCATTCCGAACATCTACTTCGCTGATATGGTCGTTAAAGTGATTTTATGTACATATATACACCATCCAAAACGCTTACCAATGATGTCGGGCAAACGATCGAGACGGTAACGTGAGAAAGTGCTACGCGGTGGCGGTTAAATTTTGGGGCACCATAGGTTTGTAAGGAAAGAGGTAGCAGTAGGATTCCCTTTTGCAACGCAAGCAAACTAATAGAAGCTAATGGTTTTTTTGGAATGCAAGTTTTGTGGCTACGACAGCGTTGGCCATTATTGTGTTTCGTCATCAAATGTGATAGCAATGAGCACCCATCGAACATACCTTGCTCAGGTCCAGGTTGATGTGCTCCATTGCTGAGACACTCATCTGATAACCAAATGACAATAATTGCACTGGCCTGCCTATTACGCTGACTATGCGCTGTCTACCTATCGGTCGTCCCAATACAAGTCGGGCTGCATCACACATTTCCAACTACGCCTACTGTGTGCTGTCAACCCATCAATTGTTCCACGGGCTACTAGGCGTCCATCCCTCCCTCAGTGAGCGGTCACTCAGCGTTGTCCTGTTCAATATTTCATGTGCACGCACACCGTGGGGTAGAGCTACATTAATGGTCCACAGGCGCGCAAGTGCATTTGTGCGCGCGATTTTGGAAAACATTCATTCACTATTGGATGGCCGGAAGCTCATGGACATTTCTCGGGTAACCGTGTGTATGCGTTTTGGTGCGGCATTTCAACGTGCTACTCATGAAAATTGGACCACATTTGTCAACCGTACTGTGGAGTGCAACGATAGCACATCGGGCGTTGCTATGTTGAGCGATAGCAACGTTTGTTTTGAAGTTGGAAAAATAAGTCAGTGTGCGATCGAATGTAAGTCAGCCACATTCTCCAAGTGCAAAATAAACACATAATTAATTTGACATTAGAGCACCTGATCTTCCTTGGACCAGAGAAAAACAAGGCTTGGTTTGTGGTGAGCGGATGCTTACGACGACCCTGTGAGCGCATTGACACCATCCAACTGATTATTTATCTAATTTCGCTGACTTGTGGGTTGAATCAGCGCTCAGTGCATACGATTGAAGGTCACTGGTCGCATGTTCACCAGACCAGCAGCAGCCAAATCCTCATGTGGTAACTCTAATAGCCAACATGGACATTTGGTTTCTTCGCGGTCTGGAACTTATGTATGTTCACCGGCACATTCAGGCTGGCAGCGCACACAACGAAACTCGCAAAACTGCGTGCTAGTCTGAAGAGAGACCGCGAATCTTGGTGGTCTCATCGTGCGTCTGAGATTGAAGTCGCCGCTTCCCTTGGTAACCATCCGCAGTCATTCCGTCTGATACGGAAAACGAGCAGCAGGAGAGCTGATGTTAGTGAAATTATACGCGACGTGAGTAGACAGTCTATCCACAACTTGTCAAATTGCTTTGAGCATTGGGTTGAGCATTTTTCAAGGCAACTTAATCGGGCTGACTTGTCAATCTCCTCGTCGGCCACTGATCTCCCGGTTCCCTGGGCTGTCCCTTTGGATCCGCCCTCGCGGTCAGAGGTCGAACGTGAGATCGGACTGTTGAAGTTTAATAAGGCCGCGCGACCGGTTGATCTTCCAGCTCTCTTCAAATTCTGTGGCCCTGCTCTTGTTGATGATTTACAAGTATTACTAATGAAACTGTAGGAGCAGGAAACTGTCCCAACCGACTGAAGCCGCTTCGCCATAGTCCCCAATTCAAGTGAGACTTACGATCGGAATGCGGCAACCATAGCGGAATCAGTCTGATCTCCATCGCTTCCAAATTGCTTGCCTCTGTCATCCTTCACAGACTGATTGGTACTCGTGAAAGCCAGAATCCTGAAGAGCAAACCGGGTTTCGTCGGGGTCGTAGCTGTATCGACCACATCTTCACTTTACGTCAATTGTTGGAGCACCGTCATATATATTGGCGGCCCACCGTAGTCGTGTTCCTCGACATCAAAAGGGCTCTTTGGGACTGTCTACTCAGGAAAGGTGTGCTCGAGAAATATGTAAATATTATCCGAGTACTGTACGCGCGTAGCTCGGGCAGAGTGTGGGTTTACAGCAAAATGTCGCCGCCCTTCAACATCTTCAGCGGTGTGAGACAAGGTTGCCCGCTGTCTCCTTTCCTTCTTAACTTCGCTATTGATGAAATCATGGAAACATCATTCGCTGGACACGACTTACAGGGTGTGGAGCTGCTTCCTTGACACTTCTTGTCTTGTCTGTGACAGCGCCCAGACGTGCTAAGCAGCACTGGCTGTCAATTGTTTTAGGCTGTGCTTTTGCTCCCTCGAAATGCAGAATCCTTCTCCAAGATTGGCAGGGACCGCCTCTTGCGCTGACCCTTGGCGGTGATCAGCTTTAAGTCGTTCAAGTATCTGGGCAGCTATAGTAGCGCCCTTGGGATTTTAGATGAGGTCACGAACTGTATAGAGAAAATTCGAGGTGCTTTTGCCGCTTTCCGCCATCTGTGGTGGCGACGCGACGTCACTCTTTCTCTTTCTGATGGGTAGTGTACAATGTAGCCTTCCGTTCGACCCTACTGTGTTGTTGTTAAACCTTGTCCATTAAATCAGCACATATAAGGAGGCTAGTTACATTCGACAAGCGGTGCCTTCACAGTTTGGCTCACATCTGGTGAGAACACCGCGAGAGCAACGAGCATGTTCGACCTCTTGTTTACGGCACAAGAAAAGGAAATGAATCGCTCAGCACCGTTGTTTCACGCATCAGGATCCGATGGCTCGGCCGCATGTTGCGCATGCCAGCCCACCGACTCCCGCGAGGTGGATTGTTTGTGCGCCAGGAGTGTGGTTGGTGAAGAGGAGGGGTGGCCGTGCAATGACTTGGTCAAAAGGAGTGATTGCGTCAAGTGTTGGAGCACCGCCATGTTTATTGGCGACGCACCGTTGTGTTTCTTGACATAAAAGGTGCCTTCGACTCAGTCGATCGATGTGCCCTTTGGGACTGCCTGCTGATGAAAGGTGTGTCTGATATATATGTAAACATTACCAAAGCGCTGTACGCACATAGTTCGGGCAGGGTGAGGGTTTATGACAAACTGTCGCCACCCTTCAGTATCACCAGCGATCATCACTACCTTCGTAGCTTAGCTCATGTCTGGTGGGAGCACCGCGTGAGCAATGAGCGTGTTCGACGTCGCGTATATGGTTCATGAAGAGCGAGTGAACCGCTCAGCACCAGTATATCACGCACAAGGCTCCGATGGCTGGGCCTCGTGTTGCGCATGCCAGCACACCGACTCCCGCGACTTGCATTGTTTGCGCGTTGTGGGTGCGGTTGGAAGAGGAGGAGGTTAGGCCAAGCGATGACTTGGTCGAGAGAAATGAAAACCCTCACTTCGAAGTTGGCGTCGGTTGGTGCATCCCGACTGCCTGGCTGGGGTCCTAAGGACGGTGAACACGTTTGGCTGGACACAGTTGCTGATATGGCTTGGAGCCGGCCCCAATGGCGTTTTTGTTGTGAGTTCCTTTGTCCATCCCCCTCCTGCTTAGCATCCCCCTGCAATCACGATTTCACTTGTCAGGCCTAATGTGACTCTCTTTGACGGCAGCCAGCTTTTAACTCTCCGGAACGATGTCCATCCGTTACTGGGGACTCAGCGGCCGTGCCACTGTTTGTTTTTCTTGTCTTTTGTATTGCGGCACAATAGCTGAGGTGTTTTCCACCTCCAGCCAATGTGTAATGATGATGATGACAAGAGGAGTGAAGGCCTTTACTTCGACGTTGGCCTTCGTTGGAACCTCTCGGTTCCCTGGTTGGGGTCTGAAAGACGATGAACACGTTTGGTTGGATACACTTGCTGTCGTGGCTATGTTTCGACCTCATTGGCGTTCATGTTGTGCGTTTCTTTGTCCTCCCAATCC